CAGAGAGAGAGAGAGAGAGAGAGAGAGAGAGAGAGAGAGAGGGGGGGAGAGACAGAGAGAGAAAATAAACACACAAAAACGAGGTTCTTACAATCATTTTTCTAAAAATCAAAATAATTAAAGGCGATCTGTAGCGTCCACATTTAGCTTGTGACCAGCTCAAAGACGCAGGTGTCACTATGCCACCAGGGAAGATTTCGAAGCACTGAATATTGTTTCCCCTCTACAGGTGCATGTTCTGTGACACACAGTGGGTTGTGCTATTTTCTGGGACGCGTTTGTCTAATCCAGCGCCTGTTCTGGTGTCGTTTGCTGCTTCCTTCTTTCCTATCAAACATCTGTCGTCTTTTTCGCTCCACCCCCCCCTTTTTTTGTGTGTATGTTACACTCTTGCAGTAACACTAACACCTCTAGTCTTCGATACTTATAATTTTATAAAACTTATTTGTGTTTCATTATGTGCTGTAAAACCCTTACTAAAAAAACCTGGGCCATATCAGCCTCTGGTGAGCAATGTTGTATGAGCGTGGTAATTTGACAAGCTTGATGGGCGGTATGAAAAACTTGGCCTCTTAGAGGTGGCGCAAGTGAGCGTTGGTTATAAAAAGGTTGATGAGCACACTAGTCTAATCAGTTCTAAATGAACACTAGAGCCACAACCCCCCCCCCGGGGCGGTGCTGCTGACTGAAGAGTATTTAGGCTTTAAGCCATTCCCAAAGGAGGAACCATGTTCTTATGCACAGTGGAATTGTAATTGTAAATGGGCTGATTCATCAGTGTCATGCTCACAACTGGGCATGAACTGCAACAGGGAACTGCTGCTATTTCTTTCCTAATCCTTACTATCGTCATTTTTCCTCTACTTCTTTTGTATGTTTGTCACTCTCTTGTGACCCGCTATTTCTGGGGTGTCTTGATAGTCGAAGCAGACTTTGTGCTGTGGAAGCTAGAGAGGTGAGTAGAGTAAGTCTGATTCAAAAAAAGAAAGAAAAGGAAAAGCACCTACACCTTCCTAACAGTTTCACACCAAATACAAATAATTTTAATGATGCAATAACTTCCACCCTACCATACTTCAATTTGTGGTGCTAAGAAGATATAATCTCTCCATATGGGAATCGAACTCGGGCCTTCTTCATAGAATGGCAAGGTGCCTAGTCACTACACCACAGAAGCCGGTTCAAAAGAACAAACAGCGGTGCTCCATAGGAGGAAGCTGTAACAACCAAACTATTCAGTTAAATTCTTGTTTGTGTCAACAGAAGCAGATCAACACAATAACAAGCCATTTCATTAAATTTAGTTTCAGAAAGTGTTTTACAGTCCTTGGTACACAATAAGGTCATACTTCATGAGTGCCGAACATTACAGGTACTACAAGAGAGTACTGTAACAAACACAAAAAAAGAAAGAGGAGACATAAAAGGACGATAGATGTTTGACTTATACACACTAGAGCACCCGTCAACGACTCACTAATTACAGTCAGGGAAGAAAAAAGAAAGACAAGACATGAACAAAAGAGGGAAAGAACAGAAGAAAGTTGAAAAAAAAACACCAGTGATGTCCTCCAACCATCCACTCACTTTCAGAAACAACAAATCAAAACAACAATCAAGACGTCTTCAAAGTTTTCATGAATTGTATTCTTCAAGGGCTTGCAAAGAGAAAGAAAGTCATGGGCTCGAGGGATCAGCACAAAGGTCAGGTCACAACCGTTGACAGGGGGGAGACAAAACCAAACACACACACACACACATTCTTATACAACTGTGCCAAACGCAACACATACACACACACACAGACCCATCAACCACATACAAGACATAAACAATTGACCCCTGACACAGGCAGGCAGACTCAAATAATATAGTACACATTTCACGTCCAGCAAGGACGCACTCATCTCAGACTGAAAAGCGTTTTGATTTCTACCCTTCTTCACACTCGAGCGTTGCATTAGACTGAACGATCAGCAAACAGTTGGCTAGGCTGTACATCAGAGGCAAGGGTCACTAACTACAGCGAAACCAAAAAAAACTAAACAAAAAAAACATAAAAATAGCTGCATCTACTGTTTGCCTTCACCAAAGACAGCTACTCACATGTCACAGCCTGTAGCACCACACAAGCAGAAATGGAAGAGTACATCATCCAAATTATTATGTCAAAGAACCTCATAATTACCAGACAAAACAACTTCATCAAGGGGGGGGGGGGGGGGAGGGTACTCTGCAGCACATGAAACTGCTCTTTTAACTAGTAAGAAAGAGTAGTACTTGTGGGTTGAAATAGTGAAAATGGTATGTGTTTAACACCCCTATCAACACTAATAGGTTATTTAAGAGGCGGAGCCTCCTAGTTTAACGTCCGTCTCCGAAAGGACTGAGTCAAGTGGGAAATTCGTGTTAAGTGCCTTTCCCAAGGATACAACGTTGGACCGAGCTGAGGTTCGAACCCCCAAACCCGCAATCTCACGATTACGAGTCAGGTAGCCTAACCACTAGGCTACCGACGCCATTCCTTGTGGGTTGAACTGTTGACAGCTTTGAAAACTCCACAAAACAACCCTAGTTCAAGAACATACATGTATCCATCCAGTCTGAGGTTTCAAACCAGGGCCACCCACTCCATAGTCCAGCAACTGAACTAACAAAGCGGCCTGATGCTGTCTGAAAAAATGATAGAAAACGGCAGAACTTCTACCACAAGGCTAATCACAAACCATATTTAATGATACTGAATTTGCACAGATATTGGAAATACTTTATACAACTGATAAAAACCTGTAAATTCTTTGCCATGTCGAAAGGCCAAAGGGCTAGAACCCAGATGGCCGCTGGATCAGAAAAGTAAGTAAAGTATGGTACTGAATAAATTAACAGATTCTGATCATGTACTGTCATAGTTTACTGTGGAGCAACAGACTCGCTCTTCCCCCTTGTAGACAAAGACTTGAGTTCGAATCTCAAAACGGGGCAGCTATTTCAATGAATATACATCCATCTGACTTCTACACATCACTGGTTGACCCTGACAGGCGGGGGTCGAAGCAACTTGTGCCTAACATGAGCTATGTTGTGAGGGTGGGGGGGGGGGGCGCACAATATGAACAACAAGGTCATCTCATAGTCAAATAAATACGCGTTTCATCCACACTATGTCAGTACACACGTTTAGGACTTAAAAAACACAACAGACGACTGATACGCCTCCTTATGATCTTTACTCATACCTGATGAATAAAATGCTGAAACCATAAGATGGAAAACTATATCAAACTCTGAGAGTAAAAGTTAAGAAAAAAATAGTTCTTAAAAAGTTGAAGTCCCATAAATGAAAGGATAAAGTGAGCAAAAGTCTGCTACATCTGAGACCAAAAAGTCTGACGTCTGAGAAAAAAACAAAGTACCGTACAAGTACACACCATGGCTGTTGCAGAGAAATTGCGTCCAGTTGTGTATATGAAACCATAGTCTAAGAGACGGCAGTATCGTACTGTAATAAATATAATGTACTTATTTCTCAGACATAAAAATGGTGATACCATATCCATATAATCGCTACCTCAGTGCTTTCTTGTCTTATCTCCATTTTTAATAACACTAACAGTGAAACAGTTCATCATAACAAAGAGTGAGCTTAAAGAAGAAGTCACATTTCCACTGTTTAAAAAAATGGAGATAGGACAAGATAGCAGCGAGGTCGCGCTATGACAATGAGCCAAGATGAAATTGCTGAGACAGACTGATAACTAATCAGGCCCATCTCAAGTTGTAACAATGGCACAATATAACAATACACAAAACTGAACAACAAAAGAGAAATGACTAGAGGGGGGGAAAGGGGGTATAATGAAGTCTGAACGATTCACAAACTCCAATCACGGAAATGCCTTTTAACTAAATATCAAATATATAGGCCTACTACATTGTAGTGAATTCAACTTAAGTATGAATATATCTGCTTTGCTATGTCTTTCTTAGAATATCTGCTGGAAATATTCTCCAGAATTAAGAGTTTGATATCCTGTTTTCTGTTTCCTAATTTGAATTGATCACTCACCCAACTACAAGCAAAATCTTTTCTTGTTTCATTATGATAGAGGGTAATCAATTAAAAACATCAACCATTAAATTTAAAAAGCAGAAAACATATATTTCCAGATCAAATGTGGAGAGAAAAAAAACTGAAAGTGTCCAGACAAATTTTCAAAAAGGACGAGTCAAGGTGTACTCCGAGAAGAGCACAGGGGACTGAGGAAAGTGGAATTCTGCGGTGGGTCTTTCTACATAAGACAGGATCTCTATTTAAGTTCCATAATTTTAAAAGAGTGCTGATAGATCATAATCGGATTGATCAAAGTCGTGTCAATTTCTAGACTCCTCTGTGTTAAACAAAATAAACTTCAAAGCCCATTGCACACATTATCATTACTGTGAGTACAAATTTCAAATGGGTTGAAAGGTTGTCAAGCTGTCACTGGTACTGATAGTGATGGACAAATATATTTTTGTTATTATCATAATTATTACATGTCAATACAGGCATATTAACAGCACAGCACCAGTGAAAATTCTGAGGCAGTCAGTTTTACCATACACTTTCATAAAATTTAACGTTTAAAGTAAAAAAATAGTCCGAAGAAAAAAGCATCCAGCAATGTATACAAAAAGTCAAAGCACTGGAAGAAGAAGCCAAAACTGCAAGCCACAACACACAGATCAAATGTAGGGCAACTGCTGTCACGAGCAAACAGGCGTAGTAGGGCTGCTCTCCATGTCTCAGAAATGAGATAGCAAAAAGCATTGTTGTACAGGATGGTCCACCCACAGTCCCTTGTCAACACAACTAACCAGCCTCAAGGGCAATATAATATAGAGCATTTCATAAATTTCTAAACGACCTAATCAAGATTTTACAGCAAGCACGCAAATTACGAGAAAACCACCATGAATGAAAGCAGAGAAGAAGGAAGGTGCGGTGCTGAAAGAAAGTTGCAAATATTCAGCTTTCCACAAGAACAAATCCAACAATAAAGTAAAACATTTAATTAACTTCTCAGGGACACAAACTGGCCTATCAGACACATTCACAGATCTCAGTAACTCAATAACAATGAAAAAGACGGATCATGTTGCAGCATGCTAGACGCACAAACATTTTCAAGTTCGGACTGGAAGACCATTTACTACCCTGTACCGCAGTAGAACAATATTTATCAAAATCAAAATACTAGTGTGCGTTAGTACACATCAAGTTGTTTCTTTTCAGCATAGTAGACATCAACATCCTTCATAATCAGGTACTGCGAACTCACTACATACTTAAGTAAGAAAGGGAACCAGAAAAAAACGTTATACAAAAGTATTTTCTTACTTTGCCTTTACAAATATCCACACATTTCAAATCACCAATAACTGGTCCAACCATACAGATTTTATACCTTTCCATAAAGTCGTAAAAAAAAAAGAATCTTTGCCTTCACTTCTTTTCAACGGACACATTCTTGTTGAACGACAGAAGACATGAGCAAAGAACCAGAGATCAACAGGTGGAGAGAGAAAGAAAAAACTAATAATACTTGACGCGAGGCAAGAAAAATACATTTGACACAAATTTTCTTAAAAGGCAGGTGTGTTTTATACAGTAGTAACATCTGTGATATGTACATAAGTATGTGTACGGGTCGAAATATCAAATCTATTTTAAAAAAGAACAAATGTACCAACACTCAGTAAGTTCAAAAGCACCTTTTGTTCTCATAACAAGATCCTCACTACTTTCACATTTAGTTAATGAAACAAGCCTATGTTATCAGCGTACTGGTGACTAAAACCCCTTCCACCAACAGCCACTTTCTTCTCTAAAGAAGTGAAAGCGGTAATTGTCATATATCCCTGGGGGTTACAAGCTGAAACCGTGTTAAATGGCAATCTATCAACACAACTTGGGTTATTATTATTAAGCCATTTTAACAAAACAAGAAGCCTCACAAATCCAACAAATATTTAAAAAATGAAATCCTTCAAAGATCACCAAAAAAAACAACAACCCCAAACCCCAATCATCTCAAGTTCTCACACAAAGGTCAATTACGTGACAACTGAACACACAGATCAGGCAGCCTGCCAGAAATTGACAAATTTCATAGAATGAGGAGGCACTGGGTAAACACAACACTTAGTCAGCAATATATATTGCCGGGTGAATTCAAGAATCTACTCTTCTATTCTCCTACGTCTATAATTATATGATGCAAGGGAGGTCACCGAGGTTCGACAGGTTCATAACGAGCCACCGACTCGCAACAGGAAGCTAGGAGTCAGCTCAGACAGGAAAACACAACTAGGTCCCTATGGTTCATTGCAGCCTTTTCTTTTCCCTTTTGATATAACACAGAGGAATCAGTGTAGAGAGGAACAGGAGTGACTGTTCATTTCAGTCTTTAAAAAAGCATTCACTTTCTTCAATAAAAAACAACAAAAAATGTAAATGTGTGTCTTTGTTTCATTTCAATCTAATGAATGATACTGAATCAGCAATTGATAGAAGATCAGTAATCTATCCTTCGATTGGTCTGTGATGAGTTAATGGTGTCTTTTCTCATTATACCATCCTTTAAAAAAATTATCTATTAAACAAAAAAGTAAAATATATTAGAAAAAACAATTGAAAAAAAAAAAATGTTCACAAATTAAAAATTGAAACTTTCAACAAATGCCGAAATGACTTTATAAAATCTCGTCAACAAGCTGCATTCGTATTGACTAAATACTGATTAACATTTGAGTGAGGAAACGAGAGCAGAATCCCCCCGTAGAGTACCATCTGCTGCATGCAGGCTGTGTTGCGAACAAAATTTATGATTCTATGATGTCCAACTTCCCTCTCTTCACTGCGCAGGCACTACAGTGTTGTAACAAAATCCTACCATTAGTCACTCTAGCGCAAGGACCCACCATCCCTGACGTGGTCACGTTGTTTGTTGGCATTTGTCAACTCAGAGGAGATATTATATTATTATATTTAAAGATAAAATTTGTAAACCTAAGCTACCTGCGAAAAGAGTTACCTCGCTTTCAGTTTCCCCGAGATGGAAGGTCGAGGCCTCCAGGCACGAAGGAGTACTACGCTGAAGTACAGAGCAAACACGTGGATCTGAAGAGCTATAAGCATAAACACGCTCCATATGAGAACGGCGGGGAACCCAAACATTTCGTACGTAAATTTCTTCTCCTGCAAATACAGCATAATATCGTTTCGGAGGTCAAAGGCACCGAAGAAAACTGGGGCCAGGCCGAACACGATGGTTCCAAGGACAAACTGCTTGAGGAGAAAAGAGTTGTTGGTCGGGGTCGACCGCCACCCGATCACGGCGGCTATCAAGCTGACCAGCCAGGCATATTCCCAGGGCCGTGGGTGGGGAAGGTCCAGTCGACGGAGGCGAATGACAGTGAATCCGAAGGCCCCTGCAATACCCGGCAGGAGTCGCACAAACATAAGAAGGCCCAGTTGAATTTGTAGAAACAAAGCCAGTCTCAAGCGCCATTTGTTGATAGAGCTGTTCAAGAAGAAAAAAGTAAACAATTAAAGAAATTGTAGTTTTTTAATCATACTTTATAGCACATCATTTCTTTTTATTATTAGAAGACCACGAGAAGTACACACACTCAATGACAGTGATCTTAGTGCTAGCAAAATACAACAAGAGAGATTACAAGAGACAGCAAAGAAGGACAAAGGCGTAGAAAGACACTTTTCATTTCAGATGCCCGACCTCTACCACGGGACAGCAAAAGTGAGCCTACAAAGTACGGTGGGGAGACAGCAAACTTAAACATCTAATAAAAGTTCTACCAAGTCCAAAAGGTGGAATTCCTAACTGCTACACTCTGTAACTTTTTAATTTTCTCCAACGCCTACAGGTTTATTCACACAGCAACCCCCCCCCAACTTACTGCACAATATATTATTACAAGTACAAGTCTAACAACTTTTACAAAGTTCACCCAGGGACAACCAACGAAGATTGCGGAATGATAAAACCCCAACAATTACATAAATAGAAATAAGACTTGAAACAAGTAGATCAAAGCCATACTTGAAAGTTTTGCTTTAATTTTTTTCTTTTTTTAATGTTAAAATGTAATACTCGTTCGAGCGGTACACAGTGTCTGATGATAACACTCACTTGACAAAGCACAGGTACACTTGAAGACCCTGAACCACACTCACAAATGCCAAGACAGACGAGACAAGTGAACCGAGTGAGAGAGATACACAACAACAGAAATTTTAATCACCACATTCTTCTCTCCTTCCTTAGAAACTGATGCACTAGCAAAAATAGTGCTAAATTAGAAAAGGAAATATTATATAAGAGATGAGACAAAAAGTCAACGAAATTAGGTAACCAAAACCCAATGTCCTAGTTGGTTGTTTGAGTAAAGTAAAGAGAAGCTCATTGACACAAAATAATTCGAATTTTAAATTAAAACTCTAATCTTGTATCTGTGCTGAGAAGGGAATCTTATCAGCAACCGATTACGTCGGATATTCCGGGCAGGCCGCCGGGGTCACTCAGTGTGTACTGTTGGTGTACAGCGAGCGTGCCTGGAAACGTGTATTTTTGCCATGAATATACCGTGGGAGTGTGTTAATCGAATACAAAAATAATGTTCTATCTTTTATATAACTTTCTATCTATAAAATGTTATGAACACAATATAACCCCTTCTCATTTAAAGCTGATGACATCACGAATAGTTACGCCCATTCGAATACAATCTTTTTATAGCAATGCCAATGAAAATTTAATTTTTCGCTTAAATAGCCCTTTTTTATTTGGTACCTAAGAAAGAATTTTCAATGCTAAGAATTATGCTTCTTGAATTTTAAGAATCGGTTCCTAAATTAAAAGTTATTGGGTTGTAAAGGTCGGCAAAGTAAGGATGACCCGCATATATATATAGAGGACAATTCTCCTAAACCGTGAACCACGCAGTAGCAGATTCTGTTTACAAGACAATCGACGATATCTCAGTAATTAATCGAAGTGTTTTTTAAAGAAACTTGGCTTCCCAATGTATTTTCGGGTTGAGAAATCCTTTCTGCCGTCAGATTTACTAAACCATTTCGTAGTTATTTTGTTGTAATTAAAATTTCGGTGTATGTATTACGATTTTGCGAAAAAGGGGTGACGGGATGAGTCCATTTATTATAGCATCGTATCACAACATGGGATCTTTAACTTTAAAAGTATATGTTAGCAGTGTGATTAAATTTATGGCAAAGCTTTCTTTGATGATTTTAGACCATGCCAACCTTAAAAGATAAATGAATTCAATCTAGCATGCCGCACAATTAAAAATTCTTTTTCCCCGTTGAGACGCGAACACCCCGAGGTGAGATCTGCTCGCCTCAGAATACCCCCATTGCGATGTTACAGGGGAACAGAGAGAAAAACAACCAGATGCGCGCGCCCGCTATTGCCCTATTTATTCAAGTGACCAAAGAATGGGCTCGGAATAGTCATGAGGGGATTTGTAGGTCACATACATTTGCCGCGAGAGTGAGGGGAAAATGGTCGGTCTCCGGGCGAAGCCGCTTGAATAGGGTGGTAGTTGTGCATTTATGATCGGGTCTAAACAACTACTTGACACAGAACGTTCAAGTTTGAGCACACTATAGAGGAAAGATAAATCTATCATCTCGACATTGAAATTCAAGCTCCTTATAGTTTTCAGTACACCCAATACGAAAGTGTTCCCGACACCAAAAGTAGAGGTTAATTTACGTGTACGAACTTCAACGTCCACATATCATTAGTTTGCCTTATTTTCTGATTGGTTGCCGAGTTTCATTCACATTGCTCCAGAAATAGAGCAGACATCGAGGTTGAGAAAGTTAGTCACCTACGCTACGACCCGGTCCAAAAGTTCACCCGCAAACGGGAACCAAACTTTCACAGCACAGGAAAGCACGATAGGCATTGCAATTTCTAAGCGCTCTCTAGTTGTTGTGAATCTAGGGTTCGAAAGGGGATCTATATAGAGGTCAATTTCCAGATGTTTCGCACTCGAATTGTTCTTTTTTTTACCTCTAGTATCAAACAAGCTTAAATTTTTTTATTAGGTAGGTAGTATCATTTCATACAAAATCTAAGCTCATTTGAAAGATTCTGTAGAAAAATGGAAGTCTTGTTTCCTGACTATCCTTTCAAGGTGGAAATGGGTACCCGGGAACAGACAGAGAAAGATTTTGTCAGTTTATTAATGTTTGAGCACATTATCAGCAGCGCACACTCTTCTGATTCCCGGATAGCCAAGAAAAGAGTGTTTAAAGAGAGTTCTGCCGAGCGTTCTGGGGTCCGCTAGCATGAGAGAAGTGTAAAGAGTAAGAGCGAGTTTTTGCTGTCGAGCTGGCATATGTGCTATACAAATGGTACATATTATTCATTTTTATTATAAAAGTAGTGGGCTTGGCCTGGCCAAGGCATAGCTTTGGCTATAATTCAGTCCGAAAGTTCAGGTTCTAAGTTGTCCTGGGCCAGGCCTGCGCCTGCTGACGAGGGCAGGGTGCTACAAACTCTGCTCTGAGGATTCTGATGTCTGATGGGGTCACCTGATTTTGTACTGCCAGGCAATACTTTCTCTGTGCCAATGGTCACTGCCATCTGAACCTTCCGGTCTATGTCCACCTCTTGAAGCCATAGTGACTGACGAAATGTATAGCTGTCAAAGGGGAATGAAGGGCCTTCAGTATTATGGCACAGACTGCAGCCCTCCTGTCGGTCGGCACCACGAAAGTTGTTACCTTTTCCGGTAACTTCCGGTATTGACTCTGTTCCGGAAAAAGTGAGAGCATGCTTACCCCCGTAGAAAATTAAATTTGTGTGTTTTTTGCTAATTAAGAGCGCTTTACAAAATTTTTATTACTGCTATAGGAAATTTATTATATTTCGAACAGGAAAAATGAGAAGAAAAGCAGCTTTTATAAGTTCTTAATAGCTGTAAGCGATTATGTTTGTAAATAGCAACCAAAGATAGCACACTTGCCTTGCTTGGCTGAGTCAAAGTGTGTGGTTTTTCAAAACTCGTTTAGACGTGCTCCCTGGCCAGAAGTGCTGGTACCGGCACTGTTTTAATTCTTATTTACTGGGCTGCATTAAAGATAATACTGGTATGATTAATTGTATGCTTGATTGACTGTGACTACTAGATCTAGACGAAATAACGGTTGGTTTGTACTACAAGTATTCTACGTAAATGGTTTGGACTGTAGGGTAGGACCTTTTCAAAGCCTTTAAGCTAGATTCTAGATCTAGATCTAGATCTAATATAGATCTAGACTAGACTAGATCCTGATCTAGTCCAGGTCAAAGACTTCGAAGCTACCCGTGGAGCTTATAGTCTGTGTGTACAGTGTAGCCAGATCTAGTAATACTAGATATTATAGTGATTATTTCTCAGAACACTCAGTAAAATAAAGTTTAACTCTATTTCTCCTAAAGGTTTTGATTATTTGCAAGGTTTAGGCATAATCCTTTCATTCTGCCATTCTGTGAGGACTGGGAGGAAGCATTTTTTGCATCGAATTCAATTTCTAGAGCTAGAGTTTTTTGATTATCTGAATGTTCAGATTTCAGTTGTGGTTGGGGCAACGTTCCCGGACTATACTTCATTTGAAAATACCTTCCAAAGGTACTGCGAGAAAACAAGACTGCTCAACCTTGGCATTCCTATTTTGCATTTAGTCACACAGCAAAAAATAGAATCTTTCATGTAAAAAAAAGTCCCTCGACGCCCCCTCCCCCCCCCCCCCCCCCTCCCCGTTCACTCACACCTTTCACACACACATACTCTCACACACACACACATATATGCACACTCTCACACACCCACACAAACACACACCCACACACACACACACACACACAGGCCACTCCTTTCGCTTATTATCAACAAATCTCGAAAACGAAAACCGTTCGGAGAAATAAAGTTCAAGTTTATTTTCCCGAACGTTCAGAGAAATAGAGCTGGCCCATATTATTCTCTTGCCTTGTCAATACTTCTGGAAGGACAATGGTTCAATGCATTTTAATCTACTAAGTGAAAGAATTAACTAATTTTGATCAGGTCTTTGGAAGATAGTGCAGGATGGTGCCATCATTATCATTCAAGTTAAACAAAATGTGGGTTTTTGCTGCCATCATTATCATTCAAGTTAAACAAAATGTGGGTTTTTCTTAGCTGCTTTTTCCAGGTTTTGAAGTCGAAGCACTTCTTTAAAAAGGAGTATAGCTGCCTATATATAATTTCTTGCACCTCCCCAGGAACACAGTGTCTGAAGCTAGCGTGAGCTCTGACACCCATGGCTTACACTAGACCTGTACGAGTATTCACTGACATCAAAACTCCCCAAAAACCAAAACGAGAGTTTGTCGTGGCATCTGAAAATATGTTAAACAGTGCCCAAAATATTAAGGAAAATGTGACGCTCACAGCCTTGGACAGACAGATCACTGTGACAGGGGTGGGCGAGTTGGAGCTGAGGCCAGATCGATTCTCAGCGACCATCAAGTGTAAAGCTTCAAAGGACAACATTCAAGAAGCTAAAACTAGTGTTACAAGACGGCTCGATTACATCATACAAACTCTCAAAAACGTGTCTTTGAAGGTGGGTATGATTATTCAGTAGCATTACGCTGTTTGTCTTTCTGTATCGTTTCATCTGTAATAAATGCTGGGTAACAATTTGCTAATGTGGCTTCCGCACTGTAATTAAGGTAAACTTCTGCCAACGACCAGTAAGTTGTTACTGAAAGATCATAACATAATTTTTTTATGCAACTTGTATTACTGAAAACTTTCCTTGTTATATAAATGTATGAATATTCTAAAGGAAATGCACTTTTCAAGGACCCCCGAGCAAGTGTTGAGTTCCTGCGTGCTGTCGGCATCATTTCTGACTGCTTATGATGCCACAGCGCTAAAAGAGAGAGAGAAGGGAATGAAAGCATTATATTATGTTTTTTTTATGTAGGCCCACGTGTTGTCGGCTTAGTATGGTCTTTTTCAGTGACAAAAATAGCTTTAATATATGAGTGCACTAGTACTAGTAGCTCAGCCATTGGTGTATCACGCTGGACTAATATATATATGCAGATGTCCAAGGTTCACATCCCAACAGGATGTTCTTAAAAAAGCTTGAGTTATGTTTATCTTCCTTTTCTCTCATTCTTCTTTTCTTTGTAAGTTGCTCTAGTAACACTTCTAACCTTCAGCACTTATATATGACCTATTTGTGTTGCAAGTGCCTTTAAACTCTTTTGAAAACTTGGGTTAATGGAGGAGTTTCCAGGCTCTCTATATACCCTCTTTGCTGGACTCTGTCGATGATGGGCGTTTATTTTGGAAGCCCAGCCTTGTTTATATCACCTTACTTACAGTAACAGCATTAAAAAGTCATTAATATGAAGCGTGCTGACAAAATGAGTTGCTTCTCAGAGTCGAAGCCTATGAAAATAGATACAAATCCTGCTTATAGGTGAAGTATTTACGATTTATAAGTATGAAATAGTAAAAGGCTTGATTGTAAAAGAAAATGGCTTCAATAGAAAATCTACATATATTTAATCCTTGTGTCGATTTTTGGCCAATTTCTTCTTTTGTGGATTGCAAGAAGTAATTCATTTTGTCAGCACACCTCACATTTAGCTTATACCATGATGAAGGTCTTTTATGACATTATATTTTCGTTTACAGGAGGAGGACTATAAAGTGTATCAACATGTGAACTATCAAGACTCTGTGGCTGTTTACGAGTGTGAGGTAGAAGCTCACTTCACTGACATTGGAAAGTGCCTGGGCGTCTCAAACTTGTTGGTGGAGAAACTGGGACCGGGGGTCAGCGTGACCTTGCCTCTGTGCTACCATGCCAGTGGGAGTCTGGACAAACTTAGGTAAATATGTAATGACAATAATGTGCACAAAAAAATGATTCCATGGGCACATTTGTGAGGCAGCATGGTGAAATCAGGGGCTTGTCAAAATAATGAATTCAGAGAACTCGGCAATTTTTTATTTTTTTTGGAGGTTCAACATCTTTTATATCTGTTTTTAAAAATTTCTGTGAAGATTTCAATGCAAAAAGCTAATAAAAGGCTAAAAAAACATAGATTATTTGTTTCCAAGGTCTCTCAAGCTATGTAAGACACCAGACTTTGGCGGCTATTTTCTCGCTTATTTTACCCCTGAAATCAGGTGACCCCAACCTCCTTCAATTGCTAATATCTCGACTTCTATTCAAGATAGATTGGTAGTTTTTTTTATCACAACCAAGACAAGTGAACAAGCTTTATAACGGTACTAATAATATAACTCAATACTCCGTACCAAAAAATTGACGAGCCCCTTATTCCCCCCGTAGTAATACATAATTATATTTTGCTTCTGATCCCGCAAAACCACCCTCTTTTTTAACCAGACTGGTATTCTGTGGTTTCACTTTTGAATTATAAGGAAAGGAAAGGCTCCACTTCTTGATTAACTTTATTCTTTTAAATCAAACTATTACTTAATTACTCTTAGCTTGTTTTCCCCTATATTTCGAGACTCGGGGGAAAATGCAATCTGTTGTTTTGTGTATCTAGTGAGTCTTTGAAATGCAATAAAGGCTGTTGTCATTACTTCGTATTTATTATGCATGCCTGTATTTTTATAATTCTGTCACAACGAGGTGGAGCCAGGCGCTCATCAATTTTTGGACATAATAAATATGGAGTTTTTGGTGGACAAAGAAAACAAGCCTTTCAGTATTCATTTTCATGTAGACTGTTTATGTATATTGGCATGCTATGTATTTTACAGGAAACAGGCTGGAATGCTTGCCATCCACAACGCCCGCCAGAAGGCTATGGAGATGACAAAAGTTATCCACATGTCTGTAGGCCCAGCAGTGCAGGTCAGTTTTCTTTTATATGTGAGGCGTGCTAACAAAATGAGTTACTTTTTGCAATCCAGAAATCGAGATTTTGGCCAAAAATCGACACCAGGGTCCAGTTTGTACCTTTTCTTTTGATGCCATATATATTCTTTTACTATAACATTCCTTTTAATATTTCATACTTATAAATTGTAAAAACTTCACCTGTAAGTGTGATGTATCTATTTCTATTAGGCTTGAGTCTAAGAAGTAACTCATTTTGTCAGCCTGTTTCACATGTGGTTCACAGCAACGAGTGGGTTGTTGGTGGGTTTTTCCGTTGTGGTCTTTATTTCAACATCTTTCTGGTGTTTCTATTGTTTATTCGCTTATATCTTCGCTGTTCCAAACAAATTGCAGGTATTATCATGCTGAATTTCTGTAAATTTCTTATGAAAAATGACTAAAACAATAATGCAGTGAGTGACTGGGAGAAAAGAAAAACAGCGTTCAACTCATCATCATTTCCTTTCTCACCGTGCACTGGAGTAGGCCTATAGGCAGGCCACGAACAAACAATTTCCACTTTTCTCTATCCTGGGCTAGCCTCTTGATATTATTCAATGTCTTCCCACTTTTCTGTATATCCATTTCTGTAATTTTTCTCCTGGGTTCAACTGCCTACTGCAATTTCTAACGGGTTTTAAAACATTTTGAACATTATGTTTTTGCTCCTTCAAACAGCTCTTTTTTTCCCCTTATGCACTTAGTAAGGGCACAAGTGGTTGAGTGATGGATCCATTCAATCTCATGATAATTCGAGCTATGCCAAGGGATGGTGACTGTCTAATAGGTGTACACTGGGATCATGTGTCCCTTAGCAGGACACTTTATCCTAACTCAGAAATGGTCTCTTTTAAGCACAAGGGGGCTATCCTGAAAAATGCTGTTTTGAAAAAATCGAAGGCAAAGTTTTTGCCCCTTGTTCAGTTTCTTTAAAAGACAAGGAGAGTTTTCTCTTTAACCAAACAAACATTTTCACCAATAAAACAGAACTTCTCCTACAGGTAGGGCAATGCCTACTTTTGGTGTAGGTCAAGATTTCTGGAAACCTGTAAAATCTGGGTTAGCCCGCTTGTCCTTAAAAGTGACCAAATATGACGCTAGATAAACAGAACTTCAAGGAGACATTAAAGATGGTTCCGGTAGGGAACGGGATAGAGGGTGCCCAAGTCCCTTGTGACTCATTGGAGCAGAGGAAGATAGGACTAATGCTAACATTACTTTAACGCAATCCCACATCATCACTCATCACCACCATTATTTCTAAAATCATCATTGCTTTCAGATTATTGACTTACATCTATAATAATCCTTGAATCTCTATCTGTAACAGTTACTTGCCATAGTAAGTATGCACGTAGTACACTATTGGACACTATCGTACACACTTTTTTCTATTAATCGGATGGCGTCAATGTCATATAAATGGGCTAGGAATAAAAAATCTTTTAAATGTTTAAATGACACTAGATAGCGAGGACCTACAATAATCTGTCCGAAGCTTGTTGCTTTGTTGTAAATAACATAATGTCTTTACCAGTGTCTGTGGTTTAGCAGTTAGATAGCCATTGCACGTAGGAGACCCAAGATCAATTCTCTAGTTATGAATTATGAAAATTTTTCTATTGAGTATCTCTGCCTTTCTGTTGGGATGTTTGATCCCTCTTAGCTCAGGTCGGTCCTGACAAGCAGGATTGAAACTCGTCTCCTTAATCAAGTAAATGATCTAAATTTTGTCGATGGGGGCATAAAAAAACACAAAAAGAATACACACATTGTCTTGATATGCCAGTGAAAAACAAGTTTCTTAAAAAAAAAAAAATGAAATGGGTAATTTCTTTTCTTTACTTTTTTATCTTTTTTTTTTTAATGTGTAACTGTCACAACATTCTTTTTCGTGTTTTTATAAATTAATTGAGCTGCCATGCAGATTTTAAGATTAAAGTTTGAGTGAAGTTCAAATTCCTCTCAATAATCATTTACCTTTTAGTCTCAGGTTTGTGTCCCGTTAAGGAACCAATTATTTTGCTTTTGAAATTTCTCTTTAAATATCAAATACAGTGCAGCGTCTCTCTAACGACCTTCGGTATATGTAAAACGACATTCTCTGTATAGCGACATTTTGCCCTGGTCCCGATTTTTTCTTTATATCTCCTCTCTTTAATGACAACTCTCTAAAATGACATTTTTTTCTGGTCCCGACGAGGTCGTTATAGAGAGGCTGCACTGTGCTAGGTCTACTATAACTAGAAATAACAAACAGAAACGTGCTTTGATGTGAAATGATGTTTGACTTTCTTCAGGTTGAGGAGCATGGGTTCTCAGAGACTCAAGGTTTGCCATCTTCAGATTTAGATGACCTTGACCTCACCCCAGGCATTCAGCAGCGAGTTGGAGAGAAGACTGTGAAAATCAGTAGTAAAGTGTCCGTCTGTTTTCAACTGCGGCCCTCAAAAAAGAAGCTTGGTTACCCTTCGTGAACAGAAAGTACTTAATTTAGGTAGTTCTTTGTATAAACTTCAGCAAAAACATATTATTCTGCAAAAAGGTACAGTTTTTTCTTGTGAACTTATTGACATCTAGCTCATTTCATGTCTAAAACTCCCCTGATGAGCTGAACAGGTTTTACTAGTTTTACTGTAGAAGGGGCATATTTGAGCTATCCCCATCGTTTTATGCCCCCCCAAAAATATGAAATTATGCAAACTGAGCTAAAAAATGTGTAATTTTAACAAAGAATGATAATGGAAAATAACCAGAAGTTATTTTTAAAATGATCAAATTTTGCTAAATTATGCCGGGTGCATAAAACAATGGGGACAGTTTGAAGGAAGTTTTTGCTCACATACGGTCAAGCATGCACAAAGCGAAATTGGTGGTATGCGGGAAATATTTTGCTTTGTATGTGTTTTGAATATAAAGGACATACGTATGTGAAAAAGTGTGGGACCTGAAAATCTCTTTGCAGGGTGCATATTTCTCTAGGGGCTTGTTTGCTATGCATGTGCTGCACTGTCAGTATGTGTTGATATATAAATCTATAATACCCTTTTACATTTGATGTCAGACTTTTTTTTTTTTTCATCCACGCAGAATTTGTTTTTTTTTGACACTTCAAGTTTGTATTTTTCATTGAACATACTCCACAGCGTTGTTACACCCTTTTTTTTAAAAAGTTAACTCTTTATCTCCGTTGGGAGTAAACCCACTTTGCTGGGCCCCCTTTTTAGTACTAAATCAAAAAATGACAAAAACATCACTAAATGGGTCATTAAATTAAAACAAATGAGCCTACTATGATAGTTCTTTATCTGATAAATGAACTCCCGATAAAAGAGACCTGTTTTTAGCAATTGTCGAAAAGTAATCTGATGTCAATGTCGTCGTAAAGGAATGTGCCCGAGCCGCTGTCCGCAGCTCACCGACGCAGGGGTTCCGACCACGAGCCGTTGGGAGCGACTTATCGGAGATAATGAGTTAAAGGGTTCAGAATGAAATTGAAATCTTCAGCATCAAAGAGAACAACTGTGTTGTTTGTTATTTGCTGTCTTGAGCTGAAGTGTTCAAAGATGGGTAATTAACAACTTACTTTGCTCAATCTATGGCCATAGACAACCTAGCCAGCTTCATCTCTTTTGGTATGTTTTATTCTCTCCATTTTTTTTAAGGGGGAGAGAAATTGGAAAAAAGCAAGTGACCTCTTTCCATCAGTGCTCAGGCTTATTTAGTTAGGGCAGTTGAACTGATTGTGACAAATTGGGATGTTGTTGTTGTTACCGATCCAGAAGCATCTGTGCGTTAACTCTTCTGCATGATGCCATTCTGTTATAGCTGTATGTCTGTTCTAAATGTTGTCTTGAGGAGTAGAGGCAGTTAGATGTGTGGGGTAACTTGGGAAGAAAACATCCCCTCAGATCGGTTAGTTCTCTACTGAAGAACAGATGATGTTCCACTGTCTCTGAGGGGTAGTCGCATAGTAGGCAGGCAGCAGGCTGCTTTACTCCAATTCGGTTGAGATGTTGATTGGGGGGTACATGTTGTGTTCTAAGTTTTAAGAATATGGATTGATCTCCCCTCCTCAACTCATTGGTTGGATCTTTGACCAGTGGTTTATTCATGTGGGATGTCAACTTCGGAATAACTGTTGTATTTTTAAATGAAAAGTTGCTGTGTAACTTATAATTTGTCGTTAGTACAATCAGAATTGGGACTCCCTTGGACTTTTTTTGTTGCCAAGGATAGGGTTACGGCATGTGTTTTATAAGTTGTGATGTTGTCTGTCCTTGTAATTGAACTATCAAAAGGACTGGCTTATTTTTTTATTTTTTTTTTGGGGGGGGGGGGGGGGGAAGAGGGTTGTATGTGTTTTGTTGTATGGAAGAAAGAGGGAGAAGATATTTCTATTTATGGTGCTGTCTGGCTTTAAGGTAACTTTAATTCAACTGTAAATGTGATGCAGCATGGTGAAATCAGGCACTCGTCAAAATAATGAAAGTGGGGAAAAAGGCATTTTTCCACAAGTTTGGACATTTTTATCGAATTTTTGTTTTTTTGGTTCAACCCATTCAAAATCACATTTCCTTGTGAATTTCACTGAAAAACATTGATTAAAGACTAAAAATATTTCGTTTGTCCGCAAGGACTCTTTAGCTATCGAGGTGACCAAACTTTGGCGGCTATTTTCTCGCTAATTTCACCACTGAGACCAAGCAATCTCACCTCCTTCTATCACTAATATTTTGACTTCTATTTAAGATAGATAGATATTTATTTCAATATAAGCAAGGCAAATGAACAGCTTTCAGATGACACCAATGACTCCACATGCCCAAAAATTAACAAGCGCCTGATTCCACCGTGTCGTGTCCCAAATGTTTCACATATCCGTTGGCACAGAATTAGATTATTTAGGAAGTGGGCTGTTTGACTTTCAGGACAAACACGGAGGCTTCGTGGGACTAACATGTCAGCAGACAGATGGAGACATCATGGCGGAGTCTGCTAAAACTGAAATTTGTGACACTACCACATTTTCTTCACTTCAGCCGGATTTTTGGTTTAGGGAGGTTTCTCAAATAATGAAAAAAAAAAAAAAAAAGGAATCAGGAGTTTGGACGGAGGGCGCCGCGAGTAGGTCCTACTTGTTTTCTTTCCCTCTGTTGTTTCTATGCCTTGTTTCTTCGCTGCACTGTTTGACCATCATTGTGTTGTTGTGCTTCTCTTTACCAAAAACTCAAACCCTGCCCTGCTCCTTCTTTCCTATCAAATGTCTGTCGTCCTTATCTTCCCCCCTCCTTTTTTGTGTTTGTTTCTCTCTTGTAACACTCCAAATCTTCTGCACTTATATGACCTTATTGTCGTGTTGCAAGTATAAACCCTGCCTTCAAATTCAAAATGAACTGTGCTGTTTAGAGTCCATCAGGATATTGAACCACAGACTAAAAAAGTGTAATTCAAATTAAGCCTGGTCCATAGAATCTCTGGTGGACTAGTGTTTCATGCCTCTGTGATATATATGTACAATACAAAACTTGTAATGCAATGTGTGTATATTATAACGTATACATGTATAGTGTAGTAAACTTTCTGATGTAGGGTTATTCGCGACTTCAGTGCTTTTTCGCCTTTTCTCCATCTTTGATAACAGTGGAAACAGTTCATAAATACCAAAGAGTGAGCTTAAGAAGAAATCACATTTCCACTGTTTAAAAAAATGGAGATACGACAAGAAAGCACTGAGGTCGCGTATTATTTAGCATTATGCTACATTGTATTTATGGCATTAGCAGATGAGACAATTATTTTGTTCAATTATATTTATACATTTTGATGTATAATTTACATGACGTGTACCAGTATTTATCTGTCAAAATGAATATTATGCTAATCAAGTCTGTTGAAATGAAATAAATAAACATCTTGTTTATCATTATGCTGCATTAAAAATTGTCATTACCATCATCCTAGTTAGCGGAGCTGGTGAAAAAGAAGAATGTTTTGTATTTTTCTCTTTGGAGAAACTGCTCCAGGGGTGTGGGTGGTTGGCGGGTGCTCAGGTGTGGTTTGCTCCTTCTTTCCTATCAAAGATCTATTAATCCTTATCTGCCCTCCTTCTTTTCTTTGTATGTTACTGTCTGGAAATGCTCCTTATCTTCAGCACTTATAATGTGTGATTTAGTAATATTATATAGCCTATCAGATTATGACGTTTTTGTGTTGCAAGTGCCCTAAAACTAAAACTCCTAGGTTTGGCATGGTGGAGATCTCTGTCTGCACTATCAGGATGGACGTTGAATTCGGAGGTCCCCCCTCTTAAATAATCTTTATATATTTTACCGTTACAGTGTTAAAATAAGAGGGGTGTTAAACTTAGGATATGCAATGCCCAATGACCACAAAGACATTCCAGGCACTGTCCAGTACGATAGCTCATTTACAGACCCTTCCACTCATCCACTCCAACCCATAATGTAGGTATTTCTGAAGCATGCTGACAAAATGAATTGCTTCTAGGATTCGAGCCCTGTAGAAATAGATTCATCATGCTTATTGATGAAGTTTTTTACAATTTATAAAAGTATAAAATAACAAAAGGCATGTTGTATTTAAAGAATAATACATGTCGATTTTTAGCCAATCTCTCAATTTGTGGATTGCGAGAAGTAACTCATTTTGTCAGCATGCCTCACATTTACTTCCGCAACCATCGACACAATTTATATCATTTAGAAAGCGGGTTTCAAGAGTACATATGTCTGTAAGGGCCAACCCGGGCTGAAAGGATGCAGCAACATCTCAGACGTCGGTAGCAAGCCGTTTTACAGCAATTAAACGTGGACCATCCATGCCCAACAGATGGGTAGACTCAAGACCTTCCGCCTGCACTGTCCCAAATGGTGCTTTTTTTATGATAAATGTTTTTATAGAGCTCTTTACTGCACGCGCGGGACACTTTAAACATTTTCAGTGGGTAGGAAATTTTGAAATTTGCCCTCGTGGCGGCCGAAGCCTACTCTTATCGATTTTAGACAACCAAGGGATCTTTAACGTGCGCAAGTTGCACACGGTACCTCCGATATTTTTCGCCCTTGTCCGAGAAGGCTAGGTATAGATCTTTCCTACTAGAAGAGCCAAGGAGCAGCGGTAGAAAGGCTGTAGAAAGAGTTAGAAGCCCAGAGGAGGGGGCAAAGGAGGTGAGGGGGTGGGGGGTAGAAAGTGGAGACAAAAGCAGACGAGAGAACGGGAAAGGAGGTGAAAGGAGACAATTTAAGAGAAGAAAAATGTTCCGTCACTACCCAGATTCGAACCCGGGACCTTTGAATGAGACTACTCTCAGTATTGAAATGCGAACACCTCAAAGAGTTTACAGTTCTAAGCTCCTTGGAACACTTTAACCTCTAGGTCACGGGATCTCCCGGTTATACTCCGAATCCAACGGTCTCAGATAGGACCGCGCCAAATTAGCAGAAAACCTCGAAAACTCCACAAAACGAACCGAGACGCCCACTCTGGGGTTCAAACCAAAGCCTTCCGCTCTCTAGTCCGGCATGATACCAGCTGACCTAACGGAGCGCCCGGAGATAGCAAACAGGAGACAAGGTATTGAAGCAGGAGTTCAGGACTTGACCCAGGGGAGTGAGAGGGGGAGGAGGGGGAACAGTGAAAGGAGAGGGGTGCAGACAACAGAAATAATAATAATGATAATAATGATAATAATAATAATAATAATAATAATAATAATAATAATAATAATAATAATAATACAGTGGAATCCTGTTATAACGAGAGGAAGGAGACCGGAGCAAAATGTCCGTTATAGCAGGATTCTCGCTATAAGGGATCCAGTGATAAATTCAAGGGAAACTGTAAAGTAGGCCTAATCTATGAGTTTGGTGTTCTGTTTATTTCCTTTTTGCTATCTCCCCTGATGATGATTTTGTTTCAACAAGACCTCTAAGTCTTACTTGATCAAAAATCGAATCAGGTTTCTTTCTCTAGCGCTAGATCTAGCGATGTGGACTGACAGCTCGGCGTTGGCGATCAGAAAGAAAAGGCTCTGGGCTAACTCGCCCGCTGTGTTTTCCCCCACCCTACCCCACCCTATGGTGCATTCCGTCTGCTTGCGTACGTCACACATTCGCTCCATCCATCACATCGCTGTGACCTCTCCATCCCCGCATCGGAGAAGTGAGAGGCACGGTAGGCCTTGATAATCTATACTAGGCTTACGCTGGCCTATCACGCAATGCGTTCTGCTTGTCTGCGCATGCCACACCCTCCCTACTCAGTCGTTCCGGCCTTCATTGTTGACACACATGGGCTCTCCTATTCTTTGTTCCGCAAGATCACCAGCAAGTTTCTCAATTGGCGAGGTTTTGCATGTATAATTGGCCTATGCACTGTGCACAGCAGCAGCAATATTCCGCTATAACTGAATCGAATGTTTGTCTGATAGCGCTATAGCAGTATTTCATTTACAAAGGTAAAGAGGAGGAAAAAAACGGGTTTTTAGAATAGTGTCTTTATAACAAACTTCTCGTTTTTTCCGGACTCGTTATAAGTGGACTCCACTGTAATACTAATAATGATAATAATAATAATAATAATAATAATAATAATAATAATAATAATAATAATAATAAGAAGAAGAAGAAGAAGAAGAAGAAGAAGAAGAAGAAGAAGAATGATAATAATAATAATAATAATAATAATAATAATAATAATAATAATAATAATATAAAAATATTGAAAAATAATTAATAATAATAATAACAATAATAATGAAGATCATTTCTAAAGGCGCCCACTCCCGTGTAAACACAGCTCAAGGCACTTTACATAAATGCATGTACGAACAATATTCACGCTTGCGACACACACACTCACGCACACACACACACACACACACACACATACACACACACATACACACACTCACACACACACACACACACACACACACACACACACACACACACACACACACACACACACTCACACACACACACACACTCATACACACACTCACACTCAGGGCCGCGTTACCTGTAAGGCAAGGCTGTTTAGGCTGTAGCCTAGGGCCCCGCGCCTCAGGGGGCCCCGCGCTTGCAAACACGACGTTTAAAAAATGTTTTTCAACAAACAAAAATTGTCCTCTTGTTGAATTGTTGTTGTTGTTTGTATTGCTGTTGTTTTTACAGTTGTTGCTGTTGTTGTTGATGTTGATGAGAAGGATGTTGATGCTGCCGTTGTTGCTGTTGTTGTGGCTGCTGCTGATGCGTTTTCTAAAGTTGTCTTTTGACTACGCCTAGGCGCTAGGCCGAAAACTATAACATTCTGTACTTGTCGTCGTCTTAATCCACATTATTGGTGGATACCGGTAGGCCTACGTCTAATCACGTTTTACAGTATAGCTTTCCATCAGTACGTGGTTACAATGCGGTAATAGTAGCATCAACGTCATCGAGGGGCCCCGGCCGCGCGGCTCATTAACAGCCTAGGGCCCCGCACTTAGTTAACGCGGCCCTGCTCACACTAACACACACATGCACACACAAACACACACTCACGTACACATTACACGCACACGTGTGCACACACACATATGCACGCAAACACACACTCACACACACACACACACACACACACACACACACACACACACACACACACACACACACATACACACACACACACACACACCCATTTACTTGCTTATCACACACGCACGCTTACACATCGTTCCGAAATGAGCACGTACACATACTTAATAAAAATAATATACAAAATGCAATTCACAAAATACATAAATGGATACATGGTCATTTACATAACATTGTACTGAACATTAATCTACTTGACATAAAAATGATGTCATTAAATGTGTCTTTAAAGATTGCTTAAGGGCTGGTGGGGCACCTAGAAATCGTGTTTGGGGGTCCAATTTTGTAAATTGGGTTTATTACATATTATAGTACCTGGACACTTCCTGAACAATATCCAGAAACGTATGTAAACCTTGCTACACCCTAAAGCTGTGTTTTTGTGTCAGGTTTTTTGGCGAAAGCACATGTTGTCTAGCCTTTTCTTACCTGTATCGGCTGTTTTCTCACAATTTTATTTTTTCACATTTTATCCCATCTTTCTGCTCTGTTTTTTGTTCAATATCAATGTAACTTTCACAGGATAGCAACAACACCTAGTGCTCAATTTTGGCTTGTTGAATTTTTGATTAATGTAGTAGTTTTTGATTTATGGGCTTAGAAAGCATGAATTTTCCATTTTTTTCACTTTTTTTTGCAACATCTTAATTGTAAATGTCATAAAATAAAAACTAAAGCTTATATAAAAAATTCAACAAGCCAAATTTAAGAGCTACATATGTACTGTTGGCATGCCAAATTAGAAGTGAATCGGTTAATGAATAAGGAAATAAATGGGATTGAAAAAGGTATACAAAATCCAATATGGCCGCCGTTTCCATAGCAACCAATTCGCAATATACGTTTTGAACTATTGATTTAAAATCCCCAATAACACACGGGGGATGGGGGGTTAGTAGGTTAACCCAGAAAGAGTCGAATGAAGGAACGGAGAGAGAGAGAGAGAGAGAGAGAGAGAGAGGGGGAGAGAGGGAGAGAGGGAGAGAGAGAGAGAGAGAGAGAGAGAGAGAGAGAGAGAGAGAGAGAGAGAGAGAGCATTCACTTTCGTTCCGAAGTTTTGACCCGCCCTGAAATTTGAAATCTTGTGCATTTTTCTGTTGTCCATTTCCGGTGTCACTTACAAAGACCGTCGTTAGGCCCAGGCTAGCCTAGGCCTAGATTCTAGATTGGGTTTGGCAATGGAATTCTTTTTGAACATGATCAGGTTGCCCTCGTTAAATTAAGCCTATTCTTGGATATTTTAAGTTTTAGCCTAGAAATCTAGTGTTCTGACTTTCTCGTAAAATCTATCTAGATTTTGGAAGGACATTTTTTTGGGAACAGTTTAGAACATGTTATTTTTGACAAATTCAATAAAGACTGTTCCAGATACATTAAATATGTGGAAGTACAGGAAACACTCAGATCTGTTTTCAAGGATAGGCCTATTCGGTTCAAAGCGAAAGTATGAAACTGAAACAGTTTTTTCCAGTGTCAACCCAAGAGATGCGTCTTCAATTTTTGGCGAGTCCTACACCGGAGATAGGGAAATAGGCCTAGATCTAGATCTAGATCTAGATCTAGTGAATGTGGAAATCCTAAGCACATCAAGTTATGAGGAAAATCCTATATCATTCCTCGAGTTGTTTCAGGTATGATTCATGGCGCTTTTTCGGTAGTTCCCACCCCGCATTTGTTATTCGCCGGTTTTGGTCCCAAGAGTAGGGGGGTTTCAGGGGGGCTTGCCCCCCTGACCTAATAAAAACAAGGTGGGGGGTTTCAGGGGGGCATGCCCCCCTGAATTTTACCACAATTTAATGTTTTGCAGTTGTTAGGTTTGACATCTTAGCTTGCCGCGAATCAAACGTATATAGATCTAGATGTAGGTCAGGCTCTATCAAATAAGGGGGGTGGGAACTACCGAAAAAGCGCCTGATTCATGAATGTCTAGATTCTAGATCTAGATCTAGATTCTAGAGGCCTACCACGTTATTGCTTTTTGGACCTGTATGGGAAAAAAATGATTGACATTATTACAGCGTAAGAACGTTTTGTTAAGTCCCCTTGTTGAATCTCAGTTGATCTTAAGTTCTGAGAGCATCCTACTTATCGATATTGGGCTCTTTTAGTCGATAAAGCACTCCCTATTGGCCAGTATCGACGAGCGCCCACCCCTGACTGGTAAACAGTGAGAGGAACTGCTTTTGTTTCTCATCCAAATGTCAGCTGAAGTCATTTTTGTTTTTAAATTAATAAGATTGTTTCCGATTTTTATATTTCTGATAATGTTGTAAGGCTGGTATCTTAAGTACCAATCAAGAATTCACGTACTTCGGGTTTTTTTCTATAGTTTATAGATCATTAATGCCTTAATTCAGTTATTGTCTAGTCAAACTTTCAATGTGTGATAATTTAGTCGTGTGCTGAAATGTTTTCTTTTTATTTATGTCTTCAGGCCACAGCAGATGGTGACACAGAAAAAATTGGCCAACTTCTCCTTGCGTTCCCCACTCGGATCAACATTCCAAACTCCCAAGGCAACTACTTGATACATATTGCGATCGATAGCAACAGACCTGACGTTTTGTCATTTCTTCTATCCAAAGGAGCAGGTGAGTATTTCTTAACTCTTTAAGCCCTGAGTTTTTTTCATCGTTTCCCAGAGTTTTTTTAGCCTCCTAAACCTGATGCACCTGTCTTATTATAACCCCGAAAACTTGCCTCCAACTTCTAAATAGCGTAAACAAAGGCTTAGTCATTAGTAAAAAAAAGCTTGGTTCGGGAATAGTTTTGAAAAACAAGCAAAAACCAGCACTAAATAAAATGAAACAGTTGTCACTAGTACTGGACGCTCCCAGCGTCTGATGGGGAATAGGGTTATTATCGCTGGACGCTCCCTGAGTCCGATGGGGTTCAAAGAGTTAAGTGTTGTGTGCTTGTATCTCTAAACATTGGGGCAGGAATGTTTTTGTTCTTGAGTTGCCTCTTTTATCTCCGTAATGAAATAGTGAAGTTAAAAAAAAAATTTTTTTCAAGTGATGATAATGTATCTAGAAGGCCTATATTTGATCCTGCTTTATTGGCCACTAGTCCAGGACAATCATCTGTACAACGACCACTTCCGCCCACTTCTCTTGATTTTTTTCCTTGTTATTACTATGACATTGTCTAGACACCCACCTGTCTGAGAGAGAGTAATCGACCATGGTGTATGTATGTCAATATATCTATATCTATTGAATGCTCAGTGTATGACTCTTTCATATGTCGCTCATAATCCTGAGGTTGCGGATTGGGGGGTTCGTCGAGCGTCAGTTTGGTCCAACATTGTGTCCTTTGGCTGGGCATTCTCTTAGATTTTCAATAACTGGATTTCCAAGTGAAGTTCTTGGAAATCTGTTGTTACTTGGAACATAAAACAAAGATTTTACACTAATAACCTTCTGTCACATGCCACTATAACAGGAATTAGCCTAACCTGTTCCTCTGCTCTGTGTTGTGATTCCTTCCGCAGCTTTGGGGCCCCGATGCGTTGGATTGGAATCTCACACTTCATGCACAACTGAACTGAGGCTCTAACTAGCCTTTCTCACAATCTATACTGTCAGCAGGCCTCCTCTGCCTTGATACAACTCTCTCCTCTCCAACTCCCACCAGTAGTAACTCAGACTTTTATCAACTTGCAAACAATACAACTGAACACAGACTCACACTTTACTCACTCTCACACTTTCAGCCTAACCCCCTGCCACAACCAAAAACAACCAAATACACCACAAAATCAATGGAAAATTTTGTGATCTTCCCGACCATGTTGTATGGGATGAAGACCTTGACGGTGTACCAAAGCTGTGCCTAGAAACTTCATCATTTCCACATGAAACACCTCAGGAACATTCTTTGCATCAAATGGCAGGATATAATACCAGACTCCAAAGTTCTCAAAATGGCAAATGCAGAGAGTCTGTTTTCTAACCTGAAAAGCACTCACCTTCACTGGACTGGCCATGTCATAAGAATACCTGATTTCAGAATCCACAAGGCAGTGTTCTATTCGGAACTGTCTTCAGGGAAGTGTAAGGTTGGCGCACCAAAAAGCACTACAAAGTAAAGACATTTTGAAAATGTCTCTGAAGGACTTCAATATAAATACTTTGAAACTTTGACATGAGAGAGCTTAGGTAGCTCCTGACAGACCCAGCTGGAGAGCAGCATTCACAGTGGGCAGCAAGTCATACAAATAAGAAATGCTGACACCAAGAAAGAAGCCCACAAGCTGCACACATCCACAAGTGGAGGAAGTGGAGCTTTTAAATGTTCAAAATGTGGCAAACTTTTATCTGCCAGAATTAAACTCAGCGGCTATAGTGGAAGCCACATATCATCGTAACCTTTAATTCTTCTAATTCTTCTATTTCCCTGGAGAAATTTTCTCCTGTGTGGATGTATTGTTCATCGTCACACATTGACGGACAAGTTATTATTTTTGAAATATGATTGGTATGTATGTGCTTTTCTGCATGATTATAAAATATGATTGATATGTGTATTATTTTTTTTTTGCATTAGTTTGAGTTTAAAATTGATGTTTGTTTTTCGGCATGAGTATAATATGAGTGTACTATGACTGATGTATAGGAAAGTGTTAGATTGGAACCCATGGGGTACAAGATCAAGGGGAAGACCCTGTGGAACCTGGAGAAGAGTCACAGAAAAGTGGGAAGACATGGAGTGACATCAAGGGACTAGCCCAAAATAGGAAAAGGTAGAAAGTGTTTGTTCCTGATCCAGGGAGAGAAAGGCAATGATAATGACTAATGTGTGCTTTTCTGCCGGTTATTATGATATGAGTATAATATTATTGATGTGTGTTTTTTCCCCCCAGATGTCAACGTGACTGATCAAGATGGGAAGACTGCGTTGCATCACGCTGTGGTGGAGCAAAGTCCGGAAATGGTAGGTATACTGGTGTTGAGGAATGCACGCACAGATATCAAGGACATTCACAACCGGATGCCTTTACACACTGCTGCCGAAGTAGGGAATGTGACGATTCTAGAGGTATGTATGCTTCTCCTTTTGCTCTGTTTTAGTTTAGTTTAGTTAAGTTTAATAAGAGTTTTTTATAACACTCGCAACTGCAGAAGGTCATATGAGCGGGCCTTTGCACTGTTTCATGTTGAATACTGAATAAATGAAAAGATATACGGGTCACCACATGGTGGAATCGAGCGCTTGTCAGTTTTTGGGCATTGTGAAGTTATTGATATCATCTTAACTGATTCCATCCATGATTTTATCAGGCTCTGGACAGAGTTATTTTTCCCTGTTCAATTTTTCAACTGGGGTGCTTCTTTTTATTAATGCATTACTGTGAGGCTCTAAGTTCCTCTAATATGTATTGTAATGTACCAAACTGATGGGAATCAATAGAGGAGTCAAATACAATGACCTATATTTTGATTGTATTGTATTTTCCCTCAGACAAAAATGAATGAGAAAAATAAACTGCGTAACACCTCTTCAAAAATTTCAACTTACCTCATTTTTTCAGCTCTACTAGTCCTAATAATCAATAGGAATCCACACACAATTGTAGAGATGTCACCCTAACACACATTTATGCGAGAATTTCACAATTTTAGTTGAATATTTTTCTTTGAAGGGCCTTTTTATTATACTAGGCTCCATGTTGTTTACCCTTATTTCGTGCCTACATAGCGACAACAAAACAACGATTATGCAAGAATTTCGCGGAGTTTCAATCGATTTTGGTGCTCAGAGATTGAGATCAGGCTTGTTTACAAGTTCTACTTCCTTTCAACAACTTAAAAAGTAGGAACTATTTTAAAAAGTGCACATTTGTTTCGGATTTTGCTCGAATTTCGTTGAGCCGCTCACAGCGGTCGAATGGCGACAGCGGAAAAACAGGGAGCTGCTGTCTGCAGTAGAATGGATGGAATCAGTTGTTGTTGTTGTTGTTATCAATCCAGCAACATCTGGGCTCTCGCCCTTCTGTCCAATGCCATGTAGTGATAAGTGCAGGTTTGCTGCAGTTGCAGTAATGTTTCGTAGAGTGTGTTGTCGAAGTTAGGTCTCGGAGGGAGAAGGGTAGCTCTGATGTCATTTAAGGCTGTACAGTGGAAAAGGTGATGTTCCACTGTCTCATATGCATAGTCACACAAAGGACACATTGGGGGAAGTTCTGGTTTTATTCTGTTCAAGTGAAAGATGAGCTGTATATTTTCTGTTCGTAGGCGAAAGATCGTGGTCTGTTTCTTTCTCTGCAGGTGGTTGATATTGTCATTTCGTTTTGTTGCAGTCATATATTTGAAAACTGCTCTGCCTGTCTTTCCCAAGGCCCATCTGTTCATCCAATCTTGTTTGCTGTTGCTTTTAATGATTTGTTTTGCAGTGTTGTATGAAGTTGGAATGTTGGGTTGTTCCTGTCTAGATCCCCTTTTGACGAGTGTGTCTGCTCGGTCATTTCCAGGTACGTTTGAGTGTCCAGGAATCCACTGCATCACCAGGTTGACGCCACAGAATGTTATCAGATGATGGGAGCCAAACAGTATATGTGTCAAGTTTTCGTTTAGATAGTGATCTTTTTCTATTGTTTGCAAGACTGATAGTGAGTCAGTGAAGATCACTCTACTCTGTGTTTTGTTTGGATGAGTGTCAAAAACTGTGTGGAGATGGTATAGTGCTGTTTCAATTGCTATCATTTCTGCGTCGTAGTTGTTGCATTTCTCTCCACAGGCTGCAAAGATCTCATTGGAACTTCCATCTGGGTATAGTCTGTATAGACGTGTATCCAGTCATCTGAATAGCTGTCGATTGTTTGATGTGATGCAAGCATCAACTTCACTGGGTCTGAAGATTTTGTGCTATTGTCTCTGAAAGAAGTTTTAATGATTGGTTTTTCCATAGAAATGTGGGGAGGGATGTTTTGGTTGACTCTTTTGGTTTCTCTTCTGTGTTGTGGTAGATGGTGGCTCCATTAGTTCTGTGATGCGATGCATGACTGATTTTTGTTGAAGTCGTTTCTTTGGTTTCCATGTTTCTACTAATTTCCTGTTTGGGTGGTTGGGGCACATTCTTTTGGTTCTTTCATGAAGCTCCAAAACTGCTTTATCTCTGCGTATTCCCAGGGGTTCAACATTTGACAGAATTTCACATGCGGCAGTAGGTGTAGATCTCATGCCACCATTTATGAAACGAGGGGCATTATTTTGGACCTTGTCAAGGGTATTGCAAGTAGTTGCACTACACATAGTGAGTAGGCAATTGCTGTATTCCAGGGAAGATCGGACATAACCAAGGTATAGAGCTCTCAGAGTTTGTTTGTCTGATCCCCATGAACTGCTTGCGAGTTTCTTTAAAAGTTGGAGTCTTCTTTTCGCCTTGTTCTTTATGCTCTCCACTTGGCTTTTCATTGTTAGACTTTGGTCAAGTTTGACTCCTAGGTACGTTGGTTGTTCTTCTTTGGGGAGATTTTCATTTCTTATCTTCAGTTGGAGTTTTTCTTTGGCTGTTTTATGGCTCTTTGTAAAGATGGTGTTTACTGTTTTCGAGCAGTTTATTTTGAGCTTCCATTTCTGACAGTAATTGTGGAGCCTCTTGAGGTCTTCATTTAATTTTCCTGCTCCTACTACCGTGCTGCGATGTGTCTGCCAGAGAGCAAGATCATCAGCGTAGAGAGTCTTTTCTGATTTCAGCACATTCGTCACATCATTAATGAAGATCAGGAACAAAGTGCAACTCAGACAGGAACCTTGGGGTAGGCCCTCCTCGAGTACTTCTCTTGACGAGTGGGCATTGTTCATCTTTGTTTCGATGTTTCGATCCGCTAGGAAAAACTTGATCCATTTATAAAGTTTCACGTGTATCCCGACGTCCATCATTTTCATGAGTAGGCCTTTTCTCCACACTCTGTCATACGCCTGTTGGAGATCTACGAAGATGGCAACAGTGTGTTTAGTCTCCTGGAAACCATCCAGGAGGTCTTGACTTAGTTTGAAAAGTTGGTCTTCTATGTTGCTGCCTTTTCTAAAGCCTGCTTGGTGTGGGTTCAAGCTGTTGGAGTTTTCCAGGTACCAGTAAAGGCGGTTGTTCACCATTCTTTCGGCAAGCTTACCGATACATGATGTTAGTGATATAGGTCGGTAGCTCTTCGCTTCTCCAGGTGGTTTCCCCTTCTTTAGGAGCGGTATGATCTGGGCGATCCTCCATACCTTTGGTATCCCGCTCGTTCTCCACGTGGTATTTACTAAGCGGCGTATGACATCTTTTCCTTTATCACCAAGGTTGCACAGCATTTCGTTGTATATTTTGTCTGGTCCTGGGGCTTTCTTTTGCTTTAATTTTTTGAGGGCCTGTCCAAGTTCCATCATGCTGAAATCCTCCTCAAAAAGGGTGTTGTTCACGGTAGGGGCTTTTTCTTCATGCTTAGCCTTGTTTATGAGGAGTCTATTGGCCTCAGTTAGTCTACTTGCCCTGTTTACAGAGGCGAAATACCGGTTAAAATGTTCAGCTTTCTTCTGGTCTTCTGCGATGGTGTTGCCTGAAAGGAAAATTGGTTTGGGGTTGCTTTTTTGTCTTTTTCCCGAGAGGTTGATGACAAGGGACCAAGCCTTGTTCCATTGTGGCGAAGGTCAAGATCTTCACAAGTCTGAGTCCATTTTTCATTTTTGGCTTTTTTAACTGATGGAATCAGTTAAAGTGTGTTTATTTGTTGTCTTGCTTTTGATGAAAAAATAACCCATCTATCTTGAATAGAAATCTAGATATTTGCAATTGAAGGTGGTGGGGGTCGCCTGGTGTCAGGTGTAAAATTAGTGAGAAAGTAGCCGCCAAAGTGTGGTGATTTTGAAAACTTGAAGTATGTGCCTTTAATCAAAATTTTTCTGCAAAATCCACTCAGAAATGTTTCAGTAAATGGAAATAATATAAGGTATTAAGCATAATAAAAAAAAATCAATAAAAATTGTCAGACAAAAGGAAAAATGTCGGTTTATTCAATTTCATAATTGTGCCTGATTTCACCACAATGCCATACAAATGAGTAAACAAATAAACGGATAAGACTTTCCTGTTCTGTTTTGAAAATTTGTCTTGCTGTGATGTCTACAATGATGACGATAAACATATCATATAAATTTTGCCAAACATTTATAGTTAAAGGAAAAGACGGATTCACAAGCTTATTATGTAAATAAGGAACCATCCAGGTCACTACAGTTCGATGCCCTTTTTTTTAGCTAGTGTTAATTGCTCAAGGAGCAGACTCATGCTCCTTTTTTCCTATCAAACATCTATCGTCTTTGCCTCTCCTCTTTTTTGTGTTTGTTACTCTCTTGTAACACCTTTATTAATCTTCAGCACCTATATGACCTTATTGTGTTGCAAGTGCCGTAAAACTCTTACTTAAAAAAAAAACCTCATGTGACCATGCCATTTTGTACATATTTATCTTTTTTTTTTCTCCTATGTTAATGTCTTTTTTTTTGTCAAGATGTATAGTGATGGGTTTTCTTTTTATGACAAAGGTGATCAGCTTTTAAAAAATGATATATCATCTTGTAGCGACTCCTCCCGCACTACGTGAACCCTAATATGGAGGGGGACGGAGGCTATACGGCGCTGCACTATGCGGCCTCCAGGGACTGTGCTGATGCTGTGCGCTTTTTGGTAAGTTTTTGACGTGTTTGTTTACGTTTAGTTTTAGTAGAGGTTTTACGATGCTTTCAACTGCATTAGGTCGTATGAGCGCCAATTTATTTACTTTAACTCACTGACCACTTTCTCTCCTCATCCTTACTATCGTCATTTTTCCTCTACATCTTTTGTAGGTGGTAAGAGGGATTGGGTCTCAAGGTTTGTTTTGTTCATGTTCATTCCCTGTTGCTTGTGAGTTTGAAGGTTGGAACAGACCCACTGCTCATTGTCAGGCATGTTATATTGTGGGTTTACATGTAGATATATGTCTGTGCTTGTTGGTGTTTATGAACTTGTACGTTTGCTGCTGTAACCCACATTTCCCCATGAGGATCAATAGAATGTAATTTATCCTAAATTATTGTACAGGGATACCAAATCTCCGATTTTCTTTCTTTTTCCATTTTTTTCATGCACTTGCAAAGGAAAGGGGAGAGGTAAGAGACAGAGAGATGTATTTGTCTGCTCATTTTAAAACTTTACAAGGTTCTTTTTAGGTGAGATGTGATGATCCTGCTAATTTTAAGGCTTAAAAAAAAAATCATTTGGCATCCCCTGATTATGATTTATTCACTCTCAGTCAATTTTCTATCCATCAGATTAAGAAGCAGTGCCTCCTTTCAGTATTCAGCGAGTGCAGAGACTTCCCCATTCACGTCGCCGGGAAGACTGGCTCTGCTAATGCCGTGCGGACCATTCTTGAGGAATGTAGGTCGTATGATATGTTGTCTGCCTTGTGGAAAAATAATATTCTGTTTGTCTGCTGAAATTCTAGAGTAAAATACATGGAGACTGTCCCTGAAAAAATGCATTATTTATAAGATGAAAAAAAAAGAAGAAAATACACCTTTCTATTTATCGAGGAGAAGAAGTGTAGGTTAAAATTGTGTATAAAGAGCTTAAAATTATTTTTTTTTAAAATAAAAAATTCAGAAACGAGACCGAGCATTATGTTCGAGACACCTGAGAATTTGTGATTTCCGTGTTCGAGATTGGTGGGCAGCTCTACTGTACATGCTCATATTGGATCTACTGTGTCAAGTCCACACAGTGGGTGGTTGTCGGGTGCTCTGGTGTGGTTTGCTTCTTCTTTCCTGTCAAACATCTATCATCCTTTTCTCCAGTGGCGTGGCTCTCCAAGCGCAAATGGCGCCATGGCGCCACCCTTTGAAATGGAGAAAGGATTTTCAAAAAAGAAAATAATTCAAAATGATCTATAAACTATTTGATTCATTCAGTTGAAAACAGGGTTTTCTTTCCAAGAATAACAAAAAAGTTTCTTTAATACCCCATCCAGACGTTTGAAGGAAGACAAAAGAGATATCACCAAGAACATAACTCAGCTAAAAATACTACAACAGGTACTCCCATCACACTAAGAGATAGTACTGTTGGGCCAAAGGGCCAAGATGGATTTGGCGCCTGTATGGTTGAGAGGGGATGGAGTAGTAGTTAGCCTGGACATGGCCACATGGCATGGTTGCGAACTGTCTAAAAATAGGTTTTATTGTCTGCTTTCTAGAAACCAGAACTGCAAGGAATCAGGGAATGGGGTCATTATGTCAAGATGCCCCGAGGGCAATAGTGCATGCGAGCTCTTCACTGTGAATGTGTGCTTTTCTGTTGATCAGTTGGAAGTTATTGTTTTGTGTGTGATTACGATGTGATGTGATTATGCGCATCTTGAGCGCTGAACTCTCCCCCGATTTATATAAAAGATTGTACCAGCACTTATCTATTCTTCTCGCATGGAAGTAGGTGTCCCTATATCAGTATTAAAATTAAATGAACAGGCGTATATAGTAGGTCTACTGTTTATAGGCCTATAATAAGCAGGCAATACTATTTGTTGTGATAAATTTGTTCTTGGCGCCATCTTCTCTGGAAGTGAAGCCAAGCCCCTGCTTTTCTCCCCTTCTTTTTTATGTTTGTTACTCTCTTGTAACAGCTCTAATCTTCTGGCGCTCATATGACCCTATGCCGTGAAATTTCTACTAACTAAAACTAACCATGTCCACTCAGGTCAATGTCAAGGCTTCACCAAGGAGGGTATTCTACGACTCCGTGACAGAGAGCGCAATATGCCGATCCATTCAGCAGTGAATGGAGGAAGTATTGAGGTAGGTTTTCTGATAGATAAGCCTGTGTTGTTCAGTGATGTTTTTACATTCAGCAGTGAATGGAGGGAGTATTGAGTTTTTGCTTTTTCCAACATTTAGAATTTGAATTTTGACAAAATATTTCTTGAGCACATGCAATTGATGCTGTAGATTCAGAAATTGCAATTTTTTTTAAAATGTAAAAATTTTGGGCTTTGTACATTTTAACAGCTGGTCGACAAAATGATTCTGTACTTGCATGTGTAAAGGTCATTTAGTTGATTCCATTTATAACATTGTTTTGATGTGGGTTTTATTTCCTTACACATGGTATTCAGTTAGTGATTGACTGACGATTTGTTCATTGACTTGGCAGGCTGTGAAATGTTGTCTCCAGATGGGCTCTTCACTGATCTGTAAACAGGTAAGACAACGGTTTTGACATTTCTTTTGCTGTGTGTTTTTTGTAGTTCATTGGTCGCTGGGTTGGTCTGTCGATCTGTCTGTCGATCTGTCTGTCGATCTGTCTGTCTGTCTGTCTGTCTGGTTGGTCAGTTGATCAGTCGGTCGGTCAGTCAGTCTGATTGTCGGTACATCTGTCTAGCTGTCCGTCTTTTGACAAATTATATACAACTCAACTATGTTTACACCATGAGCTGCATTATTTTGCTGTTGTTTATCTTACCAGAACAACATAGGGGGAACTTCTGCTTTTTCTTTCCTTATCCTTACTATCGTCATTTTTTCCTCAACTTCTTTTCTATCTTTTCTATGTTTGTCACTCTTTTTGTGAACAGCTATTTCCGGGGTGCGTTGATAGTCGAAGCAGACTTTGTGCTGTTGAGACTAGAGAGGTGAGCAGAGTAAGCCTGATTTCCCGTTTGGACTTCTCTGTTGACATCCACCCCTTGGCACTTATATGACTTTGTGCAGTTGCGAGCGCTGTAAAAACTTACTGAAACAAAGCGAACTAACTCTCTTGTAACACTTCTAATAGTTGTCATTTATATGATCTTCTTGTGTTGCAAATGCCTTAAAACTCGTACCGTTGGTGGTTGGCAGTGCTTTGGTGTGGTTTGCTTCTTCTTTCCTATCAAACATCTATCGTCTTTATCTCCCCTCCTTCTTTTTTGTGTTTGTTACTCTCTTGTAACTCCTCTAATCTTCGGCACTTATATGACCTCATTGTGTTGCAAGTGTTTTAAAACTCTTAATAAAACTAAAACTAGCACACCTATCCTTATCTCTTCTCCTCCTTTTCTTTGTCTTTCACTCTCTTGTAACACCTCTAATAGTTGTCTTTTATATTTCCTATTTGTCTAGCAAGTGCTGTAAAACTCTTACTAACACACTTAACACTTTGCCGTCGCTTGGCACAATAATGCGACACTGAAAATTGTCCGTACTGGTCACCTGGCATAAATCTGTGCCAGGCCTGAGAAGTCCGTTGCAGTCACTCTCCTGCCTGGTTGACCGTCAAGAGCATCATTGCCTTTCTCACCCTGGATCAGGATACAGGCCACAGACAAACACTTTCCACCTTTCCCAATCCTGGGCTGCTAGTCGCTTGATGTCACTCCTTGTCTTCCCACTTTTCTATACATCCTTTTCGGTGACTCTTCTCCTGGTTCCATGTGGTCTTCCTCTTGATCTTTTACCCTGTGGGTTCCAATCCAACACTTTCCTTGTTATGCAGCTGCTTGACTTCCTTAAAGTGTGTCCAATCCATCACCAACGCCTTCTTCCCACCTCATTTCTGACTGGGCTCTGTCTCACTCTTCTTAATACTTCCTCGTTGGTGATCCTGTCTGTCCATCTGTTCCTCAGTAGCTTCTTCCTGGCTGGGTTAGATGGGGGTATTTTGCAGTGTTGGTCGTGTGACTGCAAAGTATTAATTCCTTTTTTCCCCCCCAGGAAGACGGCTGGACCCCCCTGCACTTTGCAGCCATGCAGGGCAACTTGGACATGGTGGTAGCGATGTACAACGGACAGACGGAGGAGTTTAGGAGTGCTGTGTGCATCGTGGACGGTCTGCGCAGGACCCCGCTACACTGTGCCACGCTCTTCAACCACACCGCTGTCATGAAGTTTCTCCTCGACAAAGTTAGTTTGCCTGCTGCGTGCGTGTTGTCTGGTTTTGCTGTTGAGGCTGTGCGGTAGTTACGTGTTTGCGACCTCGGTGAGTGCTTTGTTGTCGTATAATCTCTATTTCTAATATCAGTGAAAACAGTTCATACTAAAGGGTTAGCTTAAGCCTATCTGTAGGCCCTGGGGTCATTTTTTTACCCCCGGGGTTGTATTTTTCACATTATAGAATACTTCTAGTACGAAGATCTCTTTGAAACTTTCAGTATTTCTCAAAAAATGGTTTGACAGACTGCTATGCGAAGCGTACGGATCAGATTAACGAGTAAATTTCCTCTTTGGAAAGTGGTGGCACAGAGTTCCCCATGTCGTATGGATGTGGTAGTAAAACGCGACGTGCGGATAGGGTTAAGAAGAAGTCGCAATTTCACCTAAAAAAAATTGAGATGCAACAAGAAAGCACTGAACTTGCGTGTTATTAGGCTGACCAACTGTCCCGAATTTCCTGGGGCTCTCTGTCTTTTAAATTTCTCTGCACTATGTTAAAGATCTTTCTCGCTCTCTCTCTCTCTCTCGCTCTCTCTCTCTCTCTCTCTCTCTCTCTCTCTTCTCTCTCTCTCTCTCTCTCTCTCTCTCTCTCTCTCTCTCTCTCTCTCTCTATCTCTATCTCTCTCTCCCTCTCTCTGTGTTTCTGTATCTCTCTAATCTCTCCCTCCCTTTGTCTCCAGCCCCCATTTTTTCTCCCATTTACACCCTGAAATATCTGTAACAAATACTCAAATAACCCCACACACCCCCACACCAGCGACAACATCAGTTGGACGCTTTTAAGGACAAGCGGGTTAACCCAGATTTCGTGGGTTTCTAGAAATCTTGACCTACACCAAAAGTGGGCATTGCCTCACCTTTAGGAGAAGTTTGGTTTCTTTGATGCGTATATTATTTGGTTGGTTACAGAGAAAACTCTCCTGAACGAGGGGCAAAAAATTTACCTTTGATTTTCTCAAAACAGCATTTTTCGGGATAGCCCCCTTGTGCCTAAAAGCCACCAAATATCCGTAACAAATACTCAAATAACTCCACCCACCCCCTCACCAACGACAACACCAATATATTCTCCTCCTCCTCTCCTGTAGGGTGCCAACATCAACACCTTAAAATATCCGTAACAAATGTGAGGCATTCTGACAAAACGAGTTACTTCTCTCAATCCATAAATTATGAAGATACTGGCCAAAAATCGTCACTTGTGTTAAATTTGTAGATTTTCTATTGATGCCATATTCTTTTAACTATTCCATGCCTTTTATTCTTTCATACTTATAAATTATAAAAACTTCATCTGTAAGCTTGCTGTATCTATTTCCATATGGCTTTAATCCGAGAAGTAACTCTTTTTGTCAGCACGCTTCACATATGCTCAAATAACCCTGACTCCTCTCTAGCAACCCCAATTGGTCGTTTTTATGCACAAGGGGGCTATCCCGAAAAATGCTGTTTTGAGAAAATCGAAGGTACAGTTTTTGGACCCTTGTTCAGTTTCTTTAAAAGACAAGGAGAGTTTTCTCTATAACCAAACAAATATACACACCAATGAAACCAAACTTCTCCTATAGGTAGGGCAATGCCAACTTTTGGTGTAGGTCAAGATTTCTGGAAACCCCCTGAAACCTGGATTAGCCCGTTTGTCCTTAAAAGCGACCAATTCTCCTCCTGTCCTGTAGGGTGCCAACATCAACGCGGTAGACGACAATCAGTTCACTCCCCTCCTGCTGGCAGCCTCCAAGGGCAAGCTCGAGGCTACCAAGATGCTCATCAACTATGGGGCGGACACGACCTTCAGGGACCGATGGAACCGGAACCTCTTCCACTTGCTCATTTTGTCCAACAAAGTCATCGAGGATCTGAGCGGCTGTGTGAAGGTCAGAGTAATACGTGTCACAACGCGGTGGAATCTGGTGCTCATCAGTGTTTGGACTTGTGGAGTTCTTGGTATCATTTTAAGGCTTGTTCATTTGTCTTGCTTTCTGTAAAAAAAATACTTATATATCATGAATAGAAGTCGAGATATTTGCGATTGAAGGAGGTGAGGGGTTGCTTGGGTTCAGAGGTAACATTAGCGGAAAAATGGCCACCAAAGATTGGCGACTTCCAAAGCTTGGGAGTCCTTAGTAACTGCAAATTTACATTTTTATGCTTTAAATCAACATTTTTGAGTAGAATCAATGGACATAAAAGGTGCTGAGCTCCCCCCAAATCTGTAAAAATTGCCAAAGGGGAAGAAAAATGTCGATTTCTTCTATTTCATTATTTTGACCAGCGCCTGATTTTAACTTGATGCCTCACATATTATATAGCTTTTATTTGTTCCTCTTTTTTCTTTTTTTGGTCAGGTTATTGTTTCGTTGTTTCTGTGTTGTCTTGTTTTTGTTTGTTACATCCTCATGGTTTGGTTGTTTTTTTGTTTTGTTTTTGTTGTTTTTTTTGTTTGTTGCTGAGTTGTTATTGCTTTTTGTTCCCTTTATTTTTAGTTGGTTCCCTTTTGCTTTTTTTTTTTTTTCTTAATTTTGGTTGTTGGTTGTTTTTTGTTGTTGTTTGGTCTTCATTATGTTTACTCTTTAAAGATCTTGAAAAATATGTAAAAGATGAAGTATCGTGCCCTCATGCAAGGAAAACGACTTAAATTTGAATTCTATTTCTTTTTCTTCTCAATTTTAAAGGCATTTTTTGCCATATCTATACATTTTGGTGCACAGAGTAAGATTTCTGAGACAGTATGAGTATGAAACAACCTGTTTGACTGTTTTTCCCACAGAGTGAAGTAAGTGTTGTTTCATCTGTCCAATATTTGTAGATCTCTCAAAGTTTTCATTATCACTGACTTTAGATCAATGTCATGCTCATACTGTGCTGGAACAACATAGGGGGAACTGTTGCTTTTTCTCTCCTCATCCTTACTATTGTCATTTTTTTCTACTTCTTTTGTATGTTTATCATTCTCTTGTGAACTGCTATTTCCGGGGTGCCTTGATAGTTGAAGCAGACTTTGTGCTGTTGAGGCTAGAGAGGTGAGCAGAGTAAGCATGATTCCCCGTTTGGACTTCTCTGTTGACATCCACCCCTTGGCGCTCATATGATCTTATGCAGTTGCGAGTGCCATAAAACCTTACTCACTTTATCTGTCCTCTTGTACCTATAGGGCGTCGAGGGGAGAAAGAGCTTCCTGTCTCTAGCAATTTTGATAGCCTGGCTGGATGGGATATTGTATGTTCTCAGGGTATCCTTCAAACCCTGGATCCAGGTCTTTCTTGGTCTTCCTCTTGCCTTGTACTCTGATACTTTTCTAAAACCGTACCAAAACTAAAACAAACTGACTTTAGCATGGCCTTTCAGGGTGTGAAAAAGCTGTACCTGTGGCTGGGCGAGAAAGATCGCAATGGGTGCACGGCGCTGCACTACGCGGCCCGCTACGGGAACCTCAGCGCGGTGTCTGCTCTCCTCAGCATGGGCGCCTCTCTCTTCTCCAAAAACTTCCAGAAGCAGTCGCCTTTCCACGTGGCTGCCATGTAAGTGATCTCCTCAAGTTTAACATGTCTTTTATCATTTCATACTTATAAATTGTAAAAGTTCAACCTATAAAACTTGACGCGTCTATTTCCATCGGGCTGAAGTCTGAGAAGTAACTCGTTTTGCCAACACGCCTCCCAAGTACAGATAGCTGTTTTGTTATTGTCAGTGCTCCCTTTTTCTTATCAAACATCTACCGGCCTCATCCCCTCTCCTTCTTTCTTATCAAACATCTACCAGCCTCATCCCCTCTCCTTCTTTCTTATCAAACATCTGTGGTCCTTATCTCCTCTCCTTCTTTCTTATCAAACATCTGTCATCGTAAGCTTCTTTCTCATCAAAGAGCTATTCAGATATTGTCCTTTATCTCCCGTCCTTCTTTCTTATCGAACATCTATCATGATCTATCGTTCTTATCTCCATTCCTTGTTTTCTTTATACTTTACTTACTTGCAAGTAACACCTCTAATCCTTGGCACTTGCATGACCTATTTGTGTTGCGAGTGCTGTAAAACTCTTCTTTTTTTTTCTATAAGTGTTTTATGGCGCTCGCAAGTGCATAAGGTCATGTGAGCGTGCGGGTAAAACTCTTACTAAAACTGAAACATCCCCCGTCATGGGACAGGTACGGTCGGAGAGGCATTTGCAAGCTCATGCTGGACACTGCCTTCGCTGTCAGCCTGAAGAACGAACCGGACGGGAAAGGACTGACCCCGCTCCACCTGGCTGCGCAGAACGGCTACACCAAGATCGTCTCGATGCTCATGGAGAGGGGAGCTGTGGTGGGCAGGTCGGTTGGGAAAAGTTTTTAAAAAAAATCTTAGCTGGATTTATAGCCTGAACCTTCCAAGTGTCGACAGTGATTAAGATAAGATAAGATAAGATATATGATAAGATAATACTTTATTATCCCAGAGGGAAATTTTTGTTGGCTGTATAGGACCGTAAAAACCCGTGCAGGTATACATAAAATTTTAGTCATAATATTACTCTCATTAAAATTCAATATGAATTCAGCCGTAAGTTTCGTTCTGTGGTGTCGCAGTTGATTCCGTCAGCCGTGATTTCAGTCACTGTTTTGGTTAGTTTATCCCTCTTTTTTATATCGCCAAACATTTTGATACCTTCTCAAATACGCTCTACTTTTTAATTACATTCTACTTTCTGAAAAGGTATAGGTTTACGGCCTTGACTTGCTGGGTTTGCCTGTTCTCAAGTATTCTCCAACCCAGTATGGGGAAATTGTATAATTTCCGCTGATACCAAAGGCTATTTGTTAGCGACTCTGGGAGGGTTAACTTACTTAGAAACCTTGAACCCCTGAGTGGCTGGAAAAGACCAGAAAAATGAAGGGTTTTAAAACAAAAAAGTGAGCAGCGAACGATAATTGCAGATGTCTGTTTTAGATTTCACAGTTGAAGAAGAAAAAGGAGACCTACTCCTGTAATGCGGTGGTTAGGTTTCTTTGCTTTGTATGCAAAGGATGTGAGTTTGCACAGATGTGGTTAGCTCTTTCTTTCCTATCTTAGCTCACCTCTCTAGCCTCAACAACACGAAGTCTGTTTTGACTATCAAGGCACCCCGGAAATAGCAGTTCACAAGAGAGTGATAAACATACTAAAAGAGTAGAGGAAAAATGACGATAGTAAGGATGAGGAAAGAAAAAGCAGCAGTTCCCCCTATGTTGTTCTGGCATAGTATGAGCATGACATTGATAAATCAGCCCATTTACAATTCTACTGTGCATAGGAACATGTTAATATCCCCCCTTTGGGAACAGCCTAAAGACACTTCAGTTAGTAGCACTGCTCTGGGGGGGGGGGGGATCTTTTCTCTATACGTTACTTTTGAGTAACACCTTGAATCTTCAACACCTATATATGACCTATTTGTGTTGTAAGTGCTGTAAAATTCTGACTTAATTAAAACAGGGGTTGTGTGTTCCAGGGACCACAAAGACAACACACCTCTCCACCTCGCGGCCTTGAACGGGCGAGTGGACTGCGTCAACATCTTGCTCAACTTGCAGATCAACCTCATTGACTCTGGCAACAACTCTGGGGTGAGGACAGAAGTTGTAGTAAATACAATAATAAATGTGAGGCAACCTGGTGAAGTCAGGCGCTCGTCAAAATAACGAAATCTGAGGAACAGACATTTTTTCGCTAGTGGGGAAATTTTTATTGAATTTTTATTCTTGGCTTATCCTCTTTTACGTCCATATAAAAACACATTTTCGTGTGAATTTTACTCAAATACATTTAAATTATGTCATTTTTCTGTTTTCAAAGACTCTTTAGTTATTGGAGTTACCTAACTTTGGCCATCATTTTCTCACTAATTTCCCCTCTGAAACCAGGGGACCTCACTTCCTTCAAATGCAGATCTTGAGTTTTATTCAAGATAAATAGATATTTATTTCATTGGAAGCAAGGCAAATAAACCACTTTCAAATACAGTCAAACCTGTGTAAAACGGCCACCTATTGTCAAAGAGAAAAGTGGCTGTATAAGACAGGTATTTGTCTCAGGCAGGACTGATCAAGATTAAGAAGACAAACCATTCCCATCTGAAGTCCCAATCGAAAGTAGCCACATTGTTGTTGTTTTTTGTTGTTGTTGTTTTGGTTTGTATTTTGTTTTTAATTTTAATTTTGTTGCTGATTTTGCTCAAGGGTGACAATAAAACGAAATGTATCAGACGAGGAAGACCGAGTGCCATGTTTAAACAAACACTTGGGTAGCCACCACTCGAAAAACGAGCGATGCGTCTGTCACAAGTTCATGTTGACGTCATTTGTTACTTTGTTACAGACTGGGTAAACAGTGACCACTCATCTCACTTACGATTTGTGTATGAGTTATGGGCAGGGCTTATGGGTTATGAGGGATCACTCGCTTTCCTCACCAGCAGCTGAAAATTGGTAGCTAATGGTCAACAGTGGGAGGGGTCTACGCAACATGATCAGTTAGAGGGACTACCAAACAACAACGACAGGTGATTGAATTATGACGGCTCGCCCACAACGCCAGGGGCTAATACACAATTTATGAAAAAACAAAATGGAGTCACTAAGGTGGCCGTCTAAGACAGGTGTTATTGCTTAGAGTGATAGAGGTTGTGTGCTAAAATATGGTGGCCGCGACCGCGTTGGACAGGTGCCCGTCTTACACAGTTTAATTATACAGAAAAAACGCAAGGGGGGAAATGGAAAGTGGCCGTTTGTACAGGTGGTCGTCTTATAGAGGTGGCCGTCAGGGCAGGTTTGACTGTAATACCAATAACTCCGCTTGCCCAAAAATTGACAAGCTCTTGATGCCTCCTTTTCTGCACTGTCTGCCTATCCCCTTGTAACGACCACCAGAACACAGCTCTTCACTTTGCTGCCTCCAACGGGCACACGGAGAGCGTCTGCATCTTGCTGTCCCACGATGCCAAGATCACGCGTAACGACGACCATCGCTGTTTCTACGACGACATCATCACCCACCAGCACGCCGAGACTGCTGCGGCTATTGTGGCTCATGAGAGGTACTCAGGGGAGGGGGAGGGGAGAAGTTATATTAAAGGGAGGGGATGGGGGATGGGGGAGAAGTTAAGTTTAAGGGGAGGGGAGAATGGGGAGAAGTTAAGTTTAGCGGAGGAGAGATGGGGGAGATAACCTGGATACCTGGAGGTGTCATCTCTGACTCAGAGGTTTTTGCATCTAATGACCCTACATCCTTCACGGTCGCGAGCTGCCGTTGCATATTCTGCCATATCCAGGCCAGTCCATGTTTTTATGTTGTCCATTAATGTTTTTCTTTGCCTTCCTCTGGCTCTCCTTCCCCACATCTTTCCTTCAAGCACCTCTTTCACAATAGTGTCGTGTCGTTTTACATGGCCTCTGTAGTCTATTTTCCTCCTTTTTTTTTTACTTCATCAGGGTTTGTCTTGTGTGTAGAAACTGGTTAGTAGTTTCTTTTAACCCTTGACTGCTGCTCATAAATGCCAACAGATGCGCTAAGAAAATTTGGCCTGAGCTGTGGGGGTCTCAGAGAGTCATATAGTGACATGTGCACAGACTGTCTGTCTCCAGACATTTGTAGGATTGCGCAGTTTTATGGTACCAATTAAGTGGCTGGTTTGTGGATTCTTTTAACCCTCGACTGCTACCCATAAGTTCAACAGGTGTGCTAAGAAAAATTCTCTTGTGCCATGTTAGGGAATATCCACCTCTTTGAAGGGCTGTAGTTTGCTTACTATAAGCAGTAGATATAACAAAGTTTTATCAAATAAAAAGGAAAAGAATGAATGATCAAATGGTATAGACAAGTTCCGGCTAAAAAATGTGTCACGACATGGTGGAATCGGACGCTCATCAATTTTTGGACATGTGGAGTTATTGGTTTCATTATAAAGCTTGTTCATTTGTCTTCCTTTTGGTTAAAAAAATACTCATCTATCATGAATAGAAGTCGAGATATTTGCAATTGAAGAATGTGGGGGTCACTTGGTTTCAGACTTAAAATTAGCGAGAAAACTGACGCCAAACTTTGGCAACTTCCAAAGCTTGAGTGTCCTTAGAAACTGCAAATTTACATTTTGGTGCCTGAAATCAACTTTTGTCAGAAATGTGTTTTTTGTGGACTTTAATTAAAGGTGTTGAGTCGAAAAACAAAAATTGTATAAAAATTTCCAGACGGACAGAAAAATGCCAATTGCTTCGATTTCATTACTTTCACGAGCGTCCTGATTTCACTATGATGCCTCACAAATGTATTCTGCTCAATAATTTGGCAGGTGAAGTGGAGTTGATTTTTTTTTTCTTACCTGAGATGACTTCAGTACTGTATCTTTACCCTCCTACATCCATATCCAATCAAGCATTTTCCAAGTGACAGTTGGGTCAAGAAATGAACCTTGTATGTTTACAGATGGCGTGAAATCTTGTCGTACAAGTCTGCAGTATACGGCTCATTCCTCATTGGCCTCATTCAGAAGTTACCAAGCGTTTGTCAGGTTTGTTCTCTGATGTTTTATGAGTAGTTGTTTCGGATGTGTCTTAGCCCCCCCCCCCCCCCCCCCCCCCACACACACACTAATCCCTAATGGCAGTGCTACTGACTGAGGTTATCTTTAGGCCGTTCCCAAAGGGGGGACATGTATGTTCTTATGCACAGTAGAATTGTAAATGTGCTTATTTATCTATGTCATGCTCACACTGTGCTGAAACAACATAGAGGGAACTACTGCTTTTTCTTTCTTCATCCTTATTACTGTCATTTTTCCTCTACTTCTTGTGAACTGCTATTTCTGGCGTGCCTTGATAGTCGAAGCAGACTTTGTGCTGTTGAGGCTAGAAAGGTGAGCAGAGTAAGCCAGATTCCTCGTTTGGACTTCTCTGTTGACTATGAAGAGTTAATAGACAATGAGAGCGTTTTTATTAACAGGTAATGATATCCCAAGAATTGTCAATGAAATCTGAATAGTTAGTGAATACTGTTACCAACTGTGTAAAAAGAGTGATAACTGAGTTGTTTCGCCGTCCCTCGTCGTCAGATTGTGCTGGACCGCTGTGTGGAGGTTGTGGAGGTCAGGAAAGGTGACACTGAGGATCATGCTGTGAGTTGCTTCCTCTTCTTTGCGTTGATTTTGACATATGATAAATCTCTGTAATAACATACTATAACTGATTTTATGTAAGTTCCGATATAACTCTCTGAGTTCACGGAATGATTGTGGGAAAGAAAATGGTCCCTGAATGTATGTTTGTGTTTAATCTTCTAAGTTTTGCAGCTATAACATACATTTAATAATTTATGTAGTTGCGAAATATAACTCTTTGGGTTAAGAAAAAGGTCTTTGAATTCATGTTTGTGTTTAATCTTTTAAGTTTTACTGTAATTATGATGAGTCCCTGGTAATAACTGTAACACGACTTGATCTTATGTAAGCTCCACTATTACTCTTTCAGTTAGTGAAGTGATGGGAAAAGAGAATGGTTCCTGAATGTATATCACCTGTGTATTATCTTCTAACATCCCAATTGTGACTTCTTTGCTGCAGAACCTTGTTTTTTTGTTTAAAAGTTAAGGTGTTGAGTGCTCACATTCTTGTGAACTCTTGTATAGCATGACCCTCCCCCCCCCCCCCCCCCCCCAAAAAAAAAATCTCATAAGAGTATGTGGTTGGTGGGTGGTCTGATGTGGTTTGCTTCTTCTTTCCAATCAAACATCTATCGTCTTTATCTCCCCTCCTTTTTGTGTTTGTTACTCTCTTGTAACACCTCTAATCTTCGGCACTTGTATGACATTATTTATGTTTCAAGTGCTGTAAAACACTTACTAAAAGTAAAAACTAAATATCTCATTACACTTTCTTTCAAGTAAACAAACACTGTTCTCCTGTTGTTATGATATTGTCTCCTTTGCTTCTGACAGATTCGTTACAACTTTGATTACCTCAACATGCAAAACGGCTTTAAGACTTTCGCCAAGTTGAACAAGCTTTCTTACAAGGCAATGTATCCCTTACAGGTCAGTCCACCCCAGAGTCAGCTATTTTTTTCTCGGATAACACGAGACTTTTCTTCAGCCTTTTCTATACTTCTCTCTTCCATGATATACGGTTGCGAGCGCTGTAAAACCCTACTAAAACTAACTCTCTCCCATGATATACAGTTGCAAGCGCCACAAAACCTTACTAAAGCTAACTCTCTTCCATGATATACAGTTGCGAGCGCCGTAAAACCTTACTAAAACTAACTCTCTCCCTTGGATATGAGTTATTAGAGATCTGAGATGTGGTCTCTTTTGAAACCTCTCACCAGCATTTTTGCTTCTCTGCCTTTTTTTCCTGATTCACATTAAACACACCTATACTGTTCTGTGCTCTACCTTCTTTTCTTGTGTTAGGCTGGACACACCCATATTTAACACACCTATACTCATCTCTGCTCTGCCTTCTTTTCTTGTGTTATCCAGGCCAAAGGGCTATAACCCAGATGGCCGCTGGATCGGAAAAAAGTAAAGTAAAGTTCTTGTGTTTTATTTTAAACCCAACCATATGAGCCTTGACTCTGCCTTCTCCTTCTATTATATCATTGTGAACCCACCAACACGCATATCTGCCTTCTGTTTGATGGCTGGTTGTGCATACTACGGCCTGGAGACTAAAGTCACTGACAGTTCTG